GTGGAGATATCTTCTGGCAGCCAGGCACCTATCTTGGCGTTGTTCTCCATCAGCGCTGACCTCTCCCAACCTCTCCCCCTGCCCCCAAGGCAGGTGCTGGAACCACCAGAAGCCCACGTGCTATTTCACCTCCTTCTTCCTTGTAGGGAATAAGCTTCTGGTTCTTCTCCATTTGGGACTTTCGGAACCAGTCTGCATCTGCCCACAGGGCCTCCGATACCACTGCGGTCCTTCTGATGCCAGTCCACACACACCCGTAGGGCCACTCCCTTCAGATGACCCTAGGCCCAACATCTTGGTCCTCCGGTTTGGGTCCAGTTGAGGTGAGGTTACTCTGTGGTAGGGGATGCCCAAGAAAGGGTTAAGTTGCCAGAAGCAGAGTCCCGCCCTTGGGTCTGCTCAGCCAATCAGAGTCTGTCCTGATGAGGTAAAGCTTCTATCCTGGGTAGCATTGGTTGAGCTGGCCGGCCCCGTCTCCTGCTGGAGAGAGCCAGAAGGGTGGAGTTTCTGTGGAACCAGACAGAACTGGAATTAGCTTCACTGTCGACTCAGGCCAGGGCTGCCTGACTCCAAGACCTGCCCCTGCTCCTTCCTACAGTGCTCACACGGACCCTGGCATCTCCAAGACCCCATCTCTAGGTGCTGCAGTGGAGGTGACATGCGGCATGCACCTTGGTGTCACAGCTAGGAGAAGTCTTACAGCCAGACCAGACCCAGGAGGCCTCAGTTTCCCTGCCCGGTCCCAGGAATATGGCAGGTGGCTACCGGGAAGTGATATGGAATGGTCGTCACATGCGGTCAAAGTGGCAGCATTCAGCCTCAGTAAACAAGGCCACTAGATGAATCTCCTATATAGATATACCTTTAATAATAATTCACAGAGTTCTTCTTGTATGCCTCTTTGCTGAGCACATTACATGAGTTTAGCCCTCGCGAGAACCCAGTTCATCCATTCACCGAACTCATGAAAAACCCGAGTCTCAGAGAGGCTCGGGGCCTCACCTGAGGTCATAGAGCAGTTAGGCACTCACACCTCCCATATCACTCACTATGTTATTTTAGAACCAGCGGCTGGCATATCTGTCATCACCACTGGACCGCAGTTTCCCAAGGAAAGAAGGTGACAGATTCTTCCGTGCACTCCCAGCACTGAGGTCAGGGTGCCCCCTGAGCGGACGGAGCCAGCACGTGCTGCACCCCACCCTCCCCTCCCTGACGGCTCAGTCAAAAGCCTGCTTTCCTCAGAGGCATGCTATTGGCCTGCCTGGGGCTGTGCATGTGGTAAGGGCTCAGTGCAGGTTCAGTGAGTGGACAATGAATGGGCAGCCAAGAGCTCCCCTCAAAGGACCTAAACTAGAGCCTGGCCCAGAGCAGGCACCTATTTCTATGCTGCTGTGCTCTGCTTAGTCGCTCAGTCATGTCTGATTCTTTGCAACCCCACGGACTGTAGCCCGCCAGACTCCTCTGTCCACGGGGATTCTCCAGGCCAGAATAGTGGAGTGGGCAGCCATTCCCTTCTACAGGGGATCTTCCCAACCCAGGGATCGAACCCAGGTCTCCCATATTGCAGGCGGATTCTTCACTGTCTGTGCCGCCAGGAAAGTCCAAGAATACTGAAGTGGGTAACCTATCCTTTCTCCAGGGTAACTTTCTGACCCAGGATTCAAACTGGAGTCTCCTACATTGCAGGTGGATTCCTTACCAGCTGAGCTACCAGGGAAGGCCATTTATTTCTATATTCGACTGAATAACCAACCCAGTATGTATCTGTCTCTCCCCATCAGCTTAGAACCTTTACAGCCATCTGTGAGTTATTCCAGATTAGCTTGGCAGCATTCCCCATGGTAGGCAGTTTAGTAGAAGTCACCCCAGGTGAGAGAAGACAGGTAGTTTACCCACAAGGGTAGATGATGAGGCAAGAAAGGGTGAAGAGTGCAGACGAGGAAGAACGGGGTGGTGAGAAGAAGGGAGCTAGGAGAGGAGAGGAAGCCGGCCACTCATTTCTACAGCAAGAGGGAGCACGAAGGCCCACCTGGAGCAGCCTCCCACCTGCCGCGGTCAGCCAGGAGAGGGCCGGAGAAAGACATCGCAGCCGTGGAGAAGGGACGCAGTCGGAATGCTGCCTGTCTCCTTTTGTCCACCTGGTCCCAGCTGGGACCCCCAGACCCCCACACTGCAGCCCCCAGGTCACTGCTACCCTCAGACACAGCACAGAAAGCCTACGGCCACCCCTCCCCACCACCACGAGGGGAGCAGACCTGGCCCCGAGAGGCACACATTCCATAGGCAATCGAGTGATGCAGAAATCTGCAGGGCAGAGTTCTCTGAAGGAGACTGGACGACCCTGGGTCCTCAGCTTTCATGGGAGTCACAAAGCTTGAGGAGCCGGGATGAGCCGCCTGGCTACCATGGGACCACCATGCCCCAGCGGGAGGCTGTCGCCCACGGTCACGCAGCAGGGAGTGGTACACCCACCTCGTGACTGTTCGCTAACCCACTTTCCTCCAGGACCCTCTGTCCTTCCCCAGGAGCTCTCCTGCTCAGGGCATATCACATGAATCATGTTTTGCAAGTGGGGGAAGAACTTCTGCATTCCTTGAGATGTTTGAGCATCAGCATGTTCCAAGGGTCAGCAAACACTATTAAAAGGAACAGGGTTGAGAAGGGGCAGCACGGGAATTCGGGGAGCTGCCTTGCAAAGTGTCTTTTCTCAGAAAAGCACTGGAGTTGGGGGGACAAGGAGTGGCTTAGGCAGAGATTTCCATTCTGCGCACAAGGAGGAACAGTTCCAAAAAGAACAAAGAAATGGCATTAAAAAAAATAATAATGGCATGCTCCTCTAGTCAGGGCTTGAAACGGATTTCAAGCAAAAGAGCTCTGCTTGACCAGTGCGAGAAGCCAGTGTCCAGGCTCAGCTTGGCCTCCCCTCTTCTTTCTCCCCTGGTGGCGGCAAGTCTAGTAAAAAGCCTGCAGCCCAGCCCTGGGCAAGGAGGTTCGTGGTCACCTGCAAGGCAGCAGGGACCTGACAGAGCTGAGCGCAGGGGGACAGCCTGTGCTGGCCGGACAAGCCACCTGGTCCAGTGGTTAAGGTGATTTTTTTTGCTGAAACACTCCTGGAACCACATGGGGCTGGAGAAGATCCTATTTACTGGAACTTCTCTCAGGGAGCATTCTGCAAGCGACTAGAAGGAATGAACTGCTAAGACCCTTCAAGTATGTATGATGTGGGTAGGGAAAGTGGGCAGTGAGATCCCAAGGGGGCTGCCTAACAAAAGGTCGTTATTAATTGCTGCCCAAGGAGGGTGGGCCAAGTCGGGTGTGTCATCTGGGCAGGGCCCGCTCTCAGGTGAGGGGGGCCATTCGAGGCCATCCCCATGGTTAGACCCGCTTTCTTCTCCCTCCTCCAGCCCAGCACAGAGCTTCTTGTTAAGCACACATTTAAAAGAGCTTTAATCTGAAGTCACGTCCAGCTGTTGCCTGCCCAGGATGCCCATATATCCTGGTGCAGCCCTGAAGCCAGGCCCCAAACCCAGGGTCAGTCAATCAAGCCCGCAGCCCTGCCAGGACCCGCTTCTCAACCCAGCCTGCCTACAGTCACTCAAACTGTCCCCCGACTCCCAGACCAAAGATGGAGAGACTCCCCAAGGCGCTGAGAAGGCTGTTGGCAACCCACTCCAGAGCCGACAGACAGAGAAGTTGAGGCAGAAAGAACTTGTTCCCCAGTCCAGGAGGAGCTAAGACTAAAACACAAGAAAACTGGTGCAAGCATGCAACATCCCAGCAGCCGCCCCGGTGAGGAGGAAGTGGCCTGTTTTCTGATTGTGACCCCGCTGAGATCAAGGGGGCCAGGCAGCCCACAGCCTCAGCAGGTCTCTGTGGAGCAGCAGAAGCTGAGACTGGGAACCAGTCAGCCGAGCAGAAGCAGCTGGGTTGTGGTTGGCTGAGCACCTACTGAATACCAGGCACCGTGCTATGAACTGTGGACGCACCGTCGCCTTTCCTTCACACGACAACGTTTTAGAGAAGAAATTGTTGTCCCCAGGTGGACCCCTAGGGACGCTTAGTGAGTGGTAAAACAAGATAACTGTCGAATCTGAGATTATATAATTCTCAGACACTATTTTAGGAGCTGCTGGCCGCCACTGCCCTGCCAGGGGTGTGCAGTCCCTTTCCCCACTCCCGTCCTTGGCAGCCTGCCCCACCGGGCCACGTGCAGGGCAGCCTGAATGCAGCTGGAAGCAGCACGAGGCCTGTGAGTTGACCAGCTGCCGCTTGCTTTCCTTTACCTTCTTCTCCCTGATTCCGGCCAGCCAACCACCTTGGCTCCTTTGGCAGCCAATCAGACCAAATCCCCAAATGGCCAGCACGTTCAGTAAGAGAAGGGACTCAAAAACGGGGGATACAACTGTGCCTGGCACGGGCATCCAGGGGACAGTGGGTCCAGCTCTGGTCCCATCACCCTCCACAGGCACAGGACCAGCTGCCCGTCCCCAGATCAGCTTCAGCTGGGAGTCTCTAATCTCCCTGATGCTCCAGCTGGCAGGGCCCCAGTCCCCGGAAAACTCCACTTGCCTCCACTTGGCTGTGGCCTACATCGAACCAGTCATGGCTTCTTTTTGCCATAAGCGTCCCTTCCCAATTATGTCTGCCTCGGGCCAGTGTGCTGTCCCTGGGCACGACCTAGAGAGGAGACCACGTGCCAGGCAGCAGCAGGAAGGCCGGCCCGAACTAGACCTTGCCATAGGCAAATTAGAGAACAGGGCCGAGAACTGATGGGTCTCACTCAGTTTAACTCTGCCGCGCTACCCGAGCACCCTCGAACTCGCTCAGTAGATCCAGTGACACGCCAAGGAGAGAGACACTCTCAGCTTCTTGCCAAGAGCCTGTTGCCCAGTTCCAAGTTCTGAGCTCGGGCTGGTCCCAAGCTCAATTCGGAAGCTTGGGGGTCCGGGCTGGCCAGGGTGGGGGGCCGGGGCTATAGCCCCCGGCGAGGCCCTTACCTTGCTGTTGGGGGATGGAGCCGCCAGCTGCTGCTGCTTCGCGATGTTCTCCGACAGGCACCAGCACACTCTCTTCTTCTGCTCCTGCGAGTGCGCTTCCAAAGTGAATAAGCACTCTGCCTTCTGACGTCAGAGGAAACAGAGAAAGGGGCAGTCAGGGCTGCTCCCTGGTTCAGGGGGCTCCCGGGCCCAAGCCCAACCCTAACCATCCAGTGGGTGAGGCTGCAGCAGGGCGGGGAGTGACCGCTGAAAGCCACAAATGCGCACACCAATCCCCAGTGACATCGAGGCAGAGCAGAGGAGCTGGTTCGGGGGCCAGCTGGCAAGCCCGGTGCCCATGGGCTAGGGGGAGGGAGGCAGCGGTTCCCAACACAGTGGAGTCCTGTGGAGAGCCGCGGAGTGCCGTGGTGAGGTCACCCCCGGGGACAGGCAGCACAAGGCGACCGCTGGGGGAGCACGCGGGGGACCCAGAGGGGCGAGGTCTCTGCCCCTCTGATGTTCTGTGGGGCGAGGACCCCTCCCCGACCTTAGCACACTCATCTATTCAAAAGACCAGGGTGAGATGGGCACCCACGCAGGACCTGGGTCCCTCCAGATAGTCTTTGGAGAGCAGTCGCATGGCCTTCAACAGCCCTGCTGCTGCCTGACACATGAGCTGGGTCTGATCAATGACTGTTCAGCTCAGCTGAGTGCAAGCTTCTGGCACTGCTGCCATTTAAATCTCGCTCTGCTATTTAACCTTGTTAAGTGCTGCTATCTCATCTCCCCAACGAGACCCGAAACCCCTGCTAGGGAGGCCTTTTTCATCCAGGCCTAGTACAGTGCTTGGCCAGTCAAGGCCTCAGTGAGCTCTGGCTCCCTGGAGACTCTCGGAATGAGGTCAAATCCAGGCCAGCCTTGGCACAGGCACCAGGGAGCTGCAGGGACCCAGGGAGTCAGCCCCGAAGGAGCCAGAATGTGCTGGGGGCGGGGAGGGGAGGAACAACATGCCCCGCGTTATCATCCTTCCCAGGACGCTCTGCGCAGGGAGTGGCGAGCTCTTTCTGTCTCCGCTGGAATTTGATTATAACCGCAGAAGGCTGCGATTTGATGAATTCATCCAGGGAGCTAAGAGTGTGAGCTGGATGGCTCAGAACAGAGAAAAGGATAGTGTAGAATTCTATGCAGTCCTTCCTTATTTTGCAGTTGGATAGGACTGGTTTGAATCTCAGCTTTGCTGCTTCCAAGCTGTCGACCTCAGAGAAATCTGTAAGATGGGAATGACCATGATGTCACCTACCTCTCAGAGCTATCAGGAGGGCAAGCAATAACCCAGGCCTCAACAAAGAGCTTCCATGGTGGCTCAGATGGTAAAGAATCTGCCTGCAATGCAGGAGACTTGGGTTTGATCCCTGGGTTGGGAGGATCCCCTGGAGAAGGGAATGGCTACTCACTCTAGTATTCTTGCCTGGAGAATTCCATGGACAGAGGAGCCTGCAGACTGCAGTCCATGGGGTCACTAAGAGTCAGACACAACTGAGTGACTAACACTTTCAACAAACAGCAGCTATCTTCGTTATTAGTACTTCATTTGTTTAAGAAATATTTGTTGAGCACCTGTTTTATGTCAAGGACTGTGCTAGGCCCCTGGGGGTGAAGAGGGAAATAAGAGAGGCTGAGTCCTTGCCCTTAGGATGGGGGCAGAGACAATAAACAGTGTAATTACAAACTGTGGAAAGGCCAAAAGGCAGAGGTCCTATCTGAGCCCAATAGACAGAGCCAGCCTTTCTGGAGGGGCAGCACCCAGCCAAGGCTGAACAAGAAAGAGCTGCCAAGGAAAGTGCTAGGGGGAAACCATTCCAGGCAGAAGGAACAGCAAGTGCCAAGGCTCTGAGCCGGGATGGTTATCAGCCTCACGGAGTAGCATTTGAGCACCTTTTCTCCGCTACCATCTGACGCAGTCCTCAGGGATACCACCCTTCAGGCAAGGGCCACCTCCCAAACTAAGTATTCCCAGGTGCCAGCCCCAAAGTGCTCAGAGTTGTCCTTCCTAAAAGCATCAGAGGAGAGCGGAAAGAAAGCCCCACCTCTTGGTTTCAGGGAACTGAGTGGATGTGGGGAGGCAATTATACTACTTAATAACAGACTTCCACTTGCCAGAACCCCCAGCCCACTGCAAGGAAGGACTCACCCCAAGATGCCCCAGAGAGAAGCCAGGTGGGGCAGGAGCTGCTCAGAGAGCCATTTGCTCCCTGTCTTGTCACATTTACCCAGCGAGGGGCGGGCCAGGACTATGGTCCCCTCTCACTCAGAAACGCTGTCAGTGTGGAAAGGCCTCAGATTTGGCCCTGGCCCGAACCCCTGGAGGAAGGCATGGCAACCCACTCCAGTAATGTTGCCTGGAGAATCCCATGGACAGAGGAGCCTGGCGGGATACGGTCCGTGGCACAGAATCGGGACACAACTGAAGCGACTTAGCGCGCATGCATGCACGCACAAGCCTCCCAGGCCTGCCTCTACCTAGCTATTTGGGCTTCAGCAAACCCTTTCAACTCCCTGAGCCCCAACTTCCCCCGCTCTTTCTGTTCCAAAGCAGATTCTACCTTAATAATAATTCCCTTTATCTAAGTATCAATTTTAAAAAGCACCTTCCCATCCATGATCTTAAGAAGGTGTCTGAGGTCCCGAGGACCTATACCTAGGCCCAGTCGGGGGTTGGGGCCTGGCTGTCTTAGATGCTCACACATTCTGGGGAGGCCCCAGCTCCCAAGCCTCCTCTCTAAGTGCCGCCTGGAGTTTGGGAGGCTGGCCTGGATGAGAGGGAGAGCCTGGAGCCAGCCTCCTCCAGGAAGGCTGAATTCCCATCTGCCTAAATCAGGGGCCCCCACTGCCTGCTTGGGTCTCTTGGTCCACTCTGTGACCTGACTCATCAGTTTGAACACTCATATACACTGTGTCCTCAAATATCAGGCTCCAAGGTCAAGGTTGTAAGCTGCCCTGAAACCATCCTCAGGAAACTCACTTGGAGGCAGGGCCTCCTTGATCACCAGCTGGTGAGCTAAGTTCTCTCCCTATGCAACAGCACTGGGCCCAGACCTCTGCATTTAAACATGCGTGTGTGTGTGTGCGTGTGTGTGTGTGTTGAGTCGTGTCCAACTCTTTGCAACCTATAGACTGTAGCCCGCCAGGCTCCTCTGTCCATGGAATTCTCCAGGCAAAAATATAGGAGTGGGTAGCCATTTCCTTCTCCAGGGGATCTTCCTGACCCAGGTCTGGACTTCTCTTGTGTCTCCTGCATTGGCAGGTGGATTCTTTTGAGCAATCCCAAATCCAACTAGAAACCCGGCTCCTCTTGCCTTCCTTCTTTAAAACCCCATCTTGCCTCAACCTCCTTGTGCCTGAATTAATATTATCCTTATAAAAACGAAAACCTCTTCTACTACAATTTACGTTTGTTCACTTGCTGTGACAGATGTTCTCTTACTTAATTCAATTCTCCCAGTGACCCTATGACATACGGAGGAAGGAAAAACACAGCTGTTACCATCTTTTAGATGAGAAAACTCAGGCTCAAAGAGGTTAAGTCAGCAGCCCCGAGAAGTATCGGGAGAGGAGGGATTCAGAGTCTGTTTTCCGCCTCCTCCAGAACCTGCGATCTTGCCTCCTTTATTTAACAGTATATGTACATTACAAAGAATGTGAGATACTCCTCTTAGTTTTTATTTTAGAGGATCGATAAATCATTGGCGATGTTGCTAATGGAGAGTAAATGAATATGAAGAGCTCTCCCCCTGTTATGACGCTAACAGGAAAAATAGCTACCATTTATTGAGTACTCACCATGTGGCAGGTTCTGTGCTAAGTGCCTTGGACACAGTATCTTATTGAATCTCATTTAATCACTGCAACAACCCTATAAGGTAGGCCTCAGCCTCATTTCAGAGATGAGTATGTGACTTGCTCAGATCGCTCAGTTAGGAAACGACAGGGCCAAGATTCCAGTCTAGGTCTTCCTAACCCCAAAGTGCAAACTCTTAAATTAATGCATCAAATTCTCTGCGGATAGTCCCTAACCCATGTGGCCTTTGACCCCATGCCCCTGGTACAGCCAGTCGTAGGCTGCATTTGTCTCTAGGATTTGCAGGGGCTGAGGGACACCTGTCCAAGGAAATTAAGGCCTCAGGGCCGAGGACTGCTCAGGACAATCCAACCCACTTGATAACTAACCAGGACCTGCTGCTGGGGAACAATCAGAGCAGCCGCCCCCCAACCCCCTCCCGCCCCAGGCAGTTGGCGCTTTCTCAATGCAGACTGGAAAACCGTCCCTAAAATCCTGACTCTCTGGCCCTGGTTTCTTCTCTGGACACTACCTGCGTGTTAGGAAACAAAGAGAAAAACCACTTGCTGGAAATGCCAACTAAGACATGAGTCTGGAGTTCTCCGTGGGTTTCAAAACCACTGTTGGCAGGCTTGTTCCAGGCCGCAGGGCAGGCAGGGAGGGATCTTGTCTTCCGTGTGTTACAGACGTGCCTTTTGTAAAGAACAGCCCATTAAGAGAAAAGAGAGGCTACTGGCTGCCTGTGAGCTTCAATCCTCCAGCCCCTTGGGGTCATATCACCTGACACATTACTGAAATAAAAGGCCCCAGATCAATATGCCTTCATCAGTCTTTGGAGGGCTAGGAGGTCACAGCTCCCTGGAAACCAAGGAGCAGAAGTGCTTTTCTCTGGGAAAAACAACCCCAGCCTGGCAGGGATAGCTCTCTTGGCATTAAAGAACTGGGAGCCTCATTTCAGGCCCCACTGGAGAGAACTGGAATCCAGATGGGTGAGGCTGGAAAGGCAAAAAGCTCTGACGCTCCCCAGCCCGCCTCCCAACCTCTCCTAGGCTGCTCTCTCCGCTCCACGCCAAACAAATTCACGCCAGCCCTGAAGCGTCTCCACCAGCTACTTCCTGTGTTCGGTGGGGATACGCTGACACGGGAGGCTACTGCTGCCTTTTCAGACCTCAAATGGCCATGCCAGGCCCCAGCTCAGCTCCAACAATGTCCACTGCCTTTTGGACCCCCTGCTGTCCCCTGCAGCTAACATCTCATCAACTGTCTTAACCTCAGGGGTCTGGTCACCTAAAGGGACATGCCTGGAACTGAAGGAATGATCTTCCAATCACAAAAAACATGCAAATTCCTTCTCAAAAGGGTGTACTCCTCTTGGCCAGCCAGTGCAGACCAGGCCTCACCCATAACGTGCGGCCAGTGCACGCTCTCCCACAAGACTGACAGTTTCCCAGGGCTGTTGTTGGGTAAGACAAACAAACAGAAGCAGGGGGAAGGAATGGGTCTAACAAATCCCTGCTTGGAACTAGTAACAGACTCATATGAACAGAGGTATAAGGAGTAAGAAAATTTGCTGCAAATTGAAAAAAATTTGTATGGCTCAGTAGTTCTCTTTTTCCATCACCAAGGCCTCCTTTGATTAAACCCCTTGGGTAATGATATTTTTGGCCACCTGATGTGAAGAGCTAACTCACTGAACAAGACCCTGATGCTGGGAAAGATTGAAGGCAGGAGGAGAAGAGGGTGACAGAGGATGAGATGGTTGGATGACACCATCAACTCAATGGACATGAGTTTGAGCAAACTCTGGGAGATGGTGAAGGACAGGAAAGCCTAGCACGCTGCGGTCCATGGGGTCGCAAAGAGTCAGATACAACCGAGAGACTGAACTACAACAATAAATGATATTTCATCTCCCAAAACACATCAAGCAATAAGCTGTTTGCCTCCAGTTAGCTCAGCAAAGGCGCAGTGTCCAGCTGAGTTTCTGATGGGACTGGGATAACCAGCCTCAGGAAGGGAAGAGCATCCAACCCACTGAGTGGGGTGTTACTCCAGCCCAAATTCAGATGTTGGACGGTTTCTTCCACGTGTATTCTCTGGGCTAGGTAAAGGTACAGTTACCTTCAAGCCTTTTCAAAACACTGATAAGACCCTGCAGGAGGGGGATGTAGGTGGTACCTTCCAGAAAGAGAGGAGGAAAGAGGTGGGCACGAGAATCAGGGCCCTCTCTAGAGGACTGTTGTTGTTAGTCGCTCAGTCGTGTCCAGCTCTTTGTGACCCCGGGGACTGTAGCCCACCAGGCTTCTCTGTCCATGGGATTTCCCAGGCAAGAATCCTGGAGCGGGTAGTCATTGCCTTCTCCAGGGGATCTTTCTGACCCAAGGATAGAACCCAGGTCTCCTGCATTGCAGGCAGATTCTTTAGCCACCATGAATAGGGCGATGTCTGACTTGACAGGCCACATCCTCATTGTGACCCTTACAGGGACTGGAGACCAGGAAGTCCTGAGCAGGAGACCACAGGGTCCTTCTTTCTTTCCCCTTTAAGCATTTTCATGTCCACTGCTCTGCTACACAGAGGTAAGGGACACTGGGGCAGAGCACTCTGGCCCATTCCACAGGGCGGGGCACTGCCATCGTGGACCTGCCCAGAACCACTGCAGGAGGAGGTGTGGAGACAGCCTCAGAACCCGGCACTAGCGCCCAGCCCAACATCTTCCTTCCAGCCCCGGGACACAGATCCTCTCCTCAAATTCAGGGGGAAGGACTCACCTCTGCGAGATACAGCACACAGAATTTCAGGTCTTCTGAAGAACCTTTGAGGGAACAAAAAGGAAGACTTGCATTAGAATTGGCTACAGAGTCAACCGTTTGCTTGAGCACCACCAGCTCTCTCACCCAGAGGGCTGAATGTGGTACTTCCTGTTAAAAGAGGAAGAAGGGGCGGGCTCTCGGGGCAGGGAAATCTCAGGAGGAAAGCCCACTTGGTCACTAAATAGGTTGAGGTACAGCTGGGAGGCCTCTGCCCGCAGGTCAGCCTGATCCAAGGAGTGCTGAGCTCTCCCTCCATGAGAGGTGGCCAGGAGCAGCCTCTGGGCACCACGCGCAGGCTGCAGGGCACTGTCTGCCATCCCAGGAGGCGTCTTTCTCACCATGCCCCTGGCGATGAGGGGCACCGAGGCAGCACGCTGCCTTTGTCGTTTTGAAATGCCACAAGGAGCCACCAAGGAATGCGTGGGCTATGTGTACCATGCGGTGGGGTGAGGGGAATCCCCGATCACAGGCTGGGTGGAGCCGAGAGATGGCTTCCCAGCCCAGGCCCAAGCCCTCAGCGTGTTCTCCTAGAGTTTTCTGACCCTTGGTCACTCAACCACTCACCAAACCCTCTCCACCTGGGCCGCAGCTGGGAGGCCTGTCAGCTGCTTGCCCCTCCTCCAGCAGAGCAGCTGAGACGGAATGCCCACCCTAGGGCGGAAGGTGATTTGGTCTGCGTGCTTCAGAAACACAAGAGCCAGGAGATAAGCCCCAGCTGTCAGGGAAGGCTTCCTGGAGGAGGACCCTTTTGAGCTTGAACTCAAGATGGGAAGAAAGGGCGCTCCGGAAGCTGGGAGCAGCACGAGCAAAGGCACGGGATGGGGAGCGCCAACTGTGCTCCAGGGAGCGCCAGGGTAAGCAGGCCCCGTCTCCTCCTCCAGGCTGCCTTCCCCGACCACGGCAGGCTGCTCCTCAGAACCTGGCGGCCCTCCCACGGACCACTCATCTGAGCACAGGCCAGGGATGGTTAGCAGCTTCCAGTATTTCAAGCATTCAATCTCACCAGGCAGGTTGTCCTTTTTGAGGCAAATAACCGCACAGCACATCTAACAGCAAACTTAAACTGCCACAGAGCTTTAGCATACCCAGTGCTGGGTGCCAACCACGGAGCCAAAAGTTTCATGTGCATAAACTGGACCTTCATGACAACCCCTATGAGGCAGGGGTATGCTCACCCATGATTCATGTGAGGAAACTGAGGCAGAGGGGATGAGTAACATGCCTCAGGTAGAAGGGGAAAGAACCAAGATTTATACCCAGGAAGCCTGGCCACAGAGCTCACACTCTGAACCACTGCACACCCAGCTCTCAAATGCTCACCACGCAGGCCTGACCCAGGCCCCTGTCTGCTTGAGGAAGCAGGACCAATGCTAGGCTCAAAGCAGAATGCTCAACAGACACTTGAATCACAGAAATTGTCAAAAAAAAAAAAACAACAACAAGAAACCCAAAACCAAAGTATTGCAAAGTAAAAGTGACGAGGAAAAAAACAGATTTTTTTTTTCCCTAAAAAAGAGAAAAAACTTTTCTATTCCTAAGAAAAGTAGTAAATGAGGCCCTCATATGGGTGGAGGCCAAACCCTCTCGGAGCGAGTATATGGGCAGTTTCCTGGGCAAGTCTATCCCTAAGGCCAGGGATGCCAGCCAGAGTCAGATAAAAATAGCTCCTAAGTAAATGGGGGTTTGCTTTGGACTTAGAATAAATCCTTCTGCTTCTCCCCACCTAGAGATGGACTGGTGGGGGGGTGGGGAACCCTGCATAAGAAGTCAATCATGTTGAAGAAACCTCTAATTTCAAAGTTTCTGCCAGTTACTTGCGTTGCAGAGGGTGGAGACAAGGGGAGGTGGTTTCTTTTGTTTAAGAAAACAACCAGGATGTTTCCTTGACCTTCCAGAAGCAGACTTTAGTGCCAAGGGGAAAACAAAAAGATCTGTGTAAGAAAATAACAGAAATTTGGGTCTTAGAAGCTGGTGGTGAGAGAAGAGAAGGTTCTAGAAGGGAGGGGAAAGCCAGCATGCTGGGAGCCTCGGGGAGACAGGAGGCCAAGGTCGGGGGGATATGACCTAGGACACATATTCCCAGTGGCAAGGGATCACTGACAGATTGCCTTGAAACTTCTCTGTGCTTCAACAGCCCCCACCCCCGCACCACACCCCCACATTACTGCAGACCCTCACTGACATCCGCTCCATGTCACGGCCTTGGGCTGGCAGCGCTCTGGAAGAAGGACAGAATGGGGGCAGCACTCAGCATGGCTCAGAGCCTCATAAGGACTGCAAGACTCAGAACCCAGCGGTGCCTGTAAGGAGCTGCAGCTGCAGAAAGAGGAGGCTGTAGGGTGGCTGAGCCAGGAAAGAAACCTCCGCCCCACCAGAAACCCTTCCAGAACCCAGGAGTGGGCTCTGGACCTTCCAGAGTATGGAAACGGGGCTGAGTGTAAAGGAAAGGGGACATGAGGCAGCATACATTTGGGCTTCCATCCAACACTCCAACTTGCATCATTCTGAAGTTTAACAAGGAGCCACTTGGTTTCTAGGTGAACCCAACCAAGCAAAGTGGGCTGTGGACCATGGGCTGCTTAGGTAGTAGTTTAGTTAAGTCGCTAAGACGTGCTGAGACCACATGGAATGTAGCTTGCCAGGCTCTTCTGTCCATGGGATTCTCCAGGAAAAATACTGGAGTAGGTTGCTATTTCCTTCTCCAGGGGACCTTCCCGACCCAGGAATCAAACCCACGACTTCTGTATCTCCTACATTGCAGGTAGATTCTTTACCAAGTGAGCTACAAGGGAATGGGCTATGCAAGGGCGATCCTCAATCGTGGGCTAGGGAAGCCCAGAACTGGCTTCCTGGTCCAGGTCTGACCCCTCTGGCACTTTCCCAGAGCCTTCTCAAGCCTGGCCTTAGATCCCAAATCAATCAGTTACCAAGTCCTCTCCACCCATGAGACAGGCCAGGAAAGCTGTTGTCTCCATTTTCCAGATGCAGAAACAGGCCCAGGGAAGCAAAACACCTTGCAGAAGGCAAGCAGTGGGCAAATGGCAGAGCTGAGACTTGAACCGAGGACCACCTGCCTCCAAAGCCCATGTTCTGACCACGAGGTCATACTCTGTCCCTCTCCCAGTTCACTCATCTGTCATTTCACCAGGCCAGGGGCTCCTTAAGTGGGACTATGTCTCTGTCTCTGCCATTACCCTGGCGGCCAGCACTTAATGGGGCTCTGAGGAGATGCTCAGAAAATGTCAACCAACTAAATTTAACTCCAAGCGCTCCTGCAGCCGAGAACCAAGCAGCTGAGGTTCCAAGACGGGACGCCTGGGCTCCTCAGGGAGGTTGGGGAACCCAAGAACCAGCTGGACATTTCCAGGCCATCCTGAAAGACCAGGGCAGGTCAGGAAGACACACTGTGGGCGGGATGCGGGCCGCCTGGGAGGCAGAAACACAAAGAACAGCAAAGCCAGTGGGCGGCAGAGACAGGAAGAGACCACAATGGGCCCCGGCTGACCGGAGATGTCCCGATTGTTAGCGCCAGCTCTCCGCCTGTTCCCATTACACTGCCTTTCAGCCCCGGCTGAAGCTTGGGAGAAGCTGGGCAGGAGGAGGGAGGGCAAGGTTTAAGTGGTCAGCAGCTGGAAGCGAGGGAGGCGTGCACCCTGGCCCCCAAACCCAGGCCTCGCTTCCCGTCTCCCTTCAGACCTTCATTCATTCACCCAACAAATAGTCACTGGGCACCCACGATGTTCCATGCCCAGGCCCGGCCCTGGGAGTGGGCTTGGCCAGCGGAGCCAGCACCCTCAGACACGTCACATGGAGAGTCCTTGCTCCCTGGGTGGGGCAGACTCTCCTTTGCCAGGGCACGGCCCTCACCAGCCCCAGCCCACAGGAAAGACTGGGTGTGCTGTGTTTACCGTCTCCTCTGCCCAAACTGAACTCCCCATACATGTCGATTTGAAAGAGACAAGAAACCTTAGGAGTCACTGGCAATCAGAGACCATTCTGCCAAGAGAGACTCCAGCTGAGGCTGCAGATGGATCTCCTAAAAGCCAGCTTCGTTGCTGCAGCGAGTCTCTGGGGGCGTGGCGGAGGCGGGCGGGAGTGTGGACACCAGGACTCGGGACACTGGGCCCAGCGGCTCCAACTCCAATGGCTGGAGAAGGGATGGCTGGGCTTCTCCGACCCCAGGACCCACAAGGCTGTCTCAGGGAGCGGGGGGTGGGGTGGGGGCAGGCAGGAAAGCAGGCGAGAGCTCCACAAATGCCTGGAAAGACGTCTAAAGCGACCTAAGCGTTGGAACGTGCACCTTGAGAGCTCAGCGCCTCTGGGCCATTTCCTTTGCTCCCAGCAGTTCCTGGGCTCCGTGGAGAGCCCTGCTTGCTGGGTTTGCTGACTGACCAGAACATCTGGCTGGCAACCCAGGACAGGCATATGCACACACACATGCGTGCACGTGCACACACACACACCCCTCACATAACAACCCAATAAGCTCCAGTGGCTGTGGGCATCTCTCCTGAGCAGGGCTGGCCGTGGCCACCCCCAGTCTCCAGCCCCGGGAGGCCATGACTGCACAGGTGACTTAGCAGAGGGGAGGTTTCTCCACAACACCCCAAGGCCTCACACCACCCACCCTGGCCAGCCGCCACCCAGTAGTAGATGGAGCTCACCCCACCTCTCCCTTCAAGCCTGGGGTTGTGGTCTCCAGGAAGGGAAGAGTCAACCAGTTCTCAGTAGACTCCACCCACCCCGTCTCCCCAAACCCCGGCCCAGGCCAGAGGTGGAGGCCAGATGAATGGGCACTGGCCATCTTCTCATAGCAATCTTAGGGCCGTGTGGGCACGTCAGGGCTGGGAGGGAATGTGAAGGACTGTGTTCCAACCTTGGCTACTGAAAGAGAAACTGCAGCCCAGAAAAGGGAGAAAGGACCAGCTGACGCTGTTCCCCAGGTCAGCAGCAACACAGAGCCAAGGATCCTCCCCTCCCAGAAATGATCCTCAATTCTTCCTCTGCCCTATGGCTCCCAACCCCCACCCAACGCACAACCAGTTTGTAACTCTTTTCCCTCCCTCCTTATAGCAAGAGGCTGAGCAGACCAGGGTCCTGGGCTTGCAGGCCCCAGAAGTGTGTAGCGAGCACAACAGAACAAGAGATGGCTCAGATGGTAAAGAATGAGCCTGCAATGCAGGAGACCCGGTTTCAGTTCCTGGGTCGAGAAGATCTCTTGGAGAAGGGAATGGCTACCCACTCCAGTATTCTTAACTGGAGAATCCTATGGACACAGAAGCCTAGTGGGTTACAGTCCATAGTGTCGCAAAGAATCGGACACGGCTGAGTGACTAACACACTTTTCACTTTCGTTCTTTTCATCAATCAGCGTGTATTACCGCGCACAGCCTCCCACCAGCACCCCTCAAATCTGACAGGGTCCTAGATTGTGTGAGCCGGGGGTGGGCAGGTGTGTGAGTGCATGTGTGTCCAAAGGGTGGGAGGGACATGGGAATGGGTGTGCAGGGGAAGCTGGGTGTGAGGGATGGGGGGCGGGATGGGGGGTGGCGGCAGGAAAGTCAAGGGCAGAGTCGCCCCCATCCTGCAGGCACTGGGGGGCTCCCTGGGAACCTCAGGATCTGAGCTGAACTTGCTCAGAGGGCTGCTCCTCACCATGACCTTGGCCAGGCCCAGCCTGCCCTGCAGGAGAGCCTCGGCCCCCAGCGAGGTGACTTGCTTTTTCCCCTCGGTGGCCGCCCTGCTCAGTGGGCAGGAGGAAGCCAGAGGCAGAGAAGGAGAAGTTGTAAGTGACTTCCTGTGGGGCTGCAAGAGTGGAGGTTCTCACACGACCTGGGTTTCTAAGGAGGAAGAGCAGTCGGGGCACCGAGCACGCAGGCCAGGTTTGCAAACAGGCAGGAAGTTTTCCTGGAGCACAAGCCGTCAAAACAGAATTCTTTCGCTGGGTACTGTTTTCCTCCCTGCCCCTGCCACCCGGGCTCAAACAGGTCTGCTGTTGTTTTCATAACCTGGGAGAGGAAACCGAGCCCCTTTCAGCAGAGACCTCGGGCAGCAAACCAAACCACTCAACAGATCCTCCTGCTGGTTGCCCGTTCCCGAGTGGAGGGCAGGGCCACCATGGCAAGTTAGGGTAGAGACTCGCTTCACGCTCCCACGTGCTCCTGCTTGCCAGCCCCGGCCAGCTCCTTGCACCAGCATCCCGGGCTCTGGCCTGGGCCATGTGGCTGGGGGAAGCAGCAGTGGTCTCCTGTCCTGGATGTGTGTGGTGAGTCAGGAGCCACGAGCATTGCCTGGGTGCGCGGTGTGACCCAATCACTTTGCATAAACAACCAAATTTAATCTAACCTCCAGCGCAACCTTCTGAGATACTACTGGCATCCTCACTTGCACATGAGGAAGCAGGCTCAGAGAGGTCCAGGAACTTGCCTGAAGTGACACAGATAGCAAGGGGCCAGGCCAAGACTGGAACACAAGTCTGTCTGAATCCAGCACTCTTTCCACTCCTCTCCCGAGCCTTCCCAAAACCTTGCTGGAGCAGAAATCTCCCTGCAAAGTTCAGGGTCTACAGCGGGGACTGCCAGCCTAGACTGGAACACCAGTGACTGAGAGCCAAATCCACGGGCGGGGCCTGACCACACATCCCATCCATCCGTGCTGCCCAGACCAGAAGAAGGACTCAGGGCGAGAGCGGAGGCCATCCAAGGCTTCTCAGGCAAGCACTCACCTTCCTGCAGCTTCACGCTCTGGAGGTAGAGAGGGTTCCTTAGGACGTTGCAGCGGCCCGGCTCATCCTCCTTGGTGAAGAGCAGCAGGTCTGAGTAGGCAAACAGCGTCACCTGCACGGGGAGAGAGCAAACAGAGCCAGCTGCCTGCAGTCCTGGAGGCCAAAGCCACAGGCTCCCCTGGAGGGCCAGGGAGCAAGTTGCCATCATCTCGTGTCTCTGTCATCTTGGGCAGAACCAGGAGTAGGCGCTCAGCGTGCCTGCTCCTCATTGTGGGAAAAACTAACAGAATAAAAATCAGCCTTCATCCTCAACCTCCAGGCCTGATGACCTCTGCCTGCCTGTCAACATAGCAAATGGATGGGGGAAAGTGGAAACAGTGACAGATTTTCTTGGGCTCCAAAATTACCTCGGATGGTGACTGCCACCATGAAATTCAAAAACACTTGCTCCTGGGAAGGAAAGCTATGACAAACTTAGACTGCATATTAAAAAGCAGAGACACTGCTTTACTGACAAAGGTCTGCCTAGCCAAAGCTGTGGTTTTTCTATTGGTCATGTACGGATGTAAGAGTTGGACCATAAAGAAGGCTGAGCACCGAAGAATTGATGCTCTTGAGCTGTGGTGCTGGAGAAGACTCTTGAGAGTCCCTTGGACAGCAAGGAGATCAAACCAGTCAATCCTAAAGGAAATCAACTCTGAATATTCATTGGGAGAACTGGTGTTGAAGCTGAGGCTCCAATACCTTGGCCACCTGATGCAAAGAACCAACTCATTGGAAAAGACCCTGATGCTGGGAAAGATTGAGGGCAGGAGGAGAAGAGGGCAAAAAAGGATGAGATGGTTGCATGGCATCACTGACTCAATGGACATGAGTTTGGGTAAACTCCAGGAGATAGGGAAGGACAGGGGAGCCTGGCATGCTGCGGTCCGTAGGGTCGCAAAGGTTCAGATATGACTGAGTAACTGAAAAACAACAAGCCTCTCAACAGCCAGACACCCCACAGGCCCACCTTCCTGACCAAATGCCTCTGCAATCTCCAGACCCAGGCCCTCGGCTTGGAGCCACCTTGAGCTGCAAGAGATACCACATTCACATGCATCCTCCTCTAAGTGTCTGGCTGAAAGAGCAGTAGACTTGGAGTCAGAACTCGAGGCTCCTGTCCCACTAAGTAGCCATGAAAACTTGGTGAAGTCCCCAAATCCCTTCAGCCTCAGTTTTTTCATCTGAGAAAAACATGCAAACAGGGGGAAAGTCCCTGCTGGGCTCCCTACAGGCTTCTTTCATAAGCTCTATGTAGACTATGAATTGAAGCATCATGCCACATGCATGTTCTTACCAAGTTCCTTGCAGATAATTTCAACTGCATCCATGCACAATCACTTCAAGAAAAAGTCAGTTACTTACACTCCAATACAGACACGCACAGAACTTTTATCTCTTTGATGCATTAGCTGCTCCAAAAATAAAGGGGAAAGATATTTTTAGACATTATAGGTAAACCACCAGGCATGCTCCACATATTTTTATGCTAGAAAAAAAAATCCACTTGATCCCCTAATGCCAGTAAAGATTACCCTGAGCTTTGTTTTGCAAATCCTGCAGTGGCCTTTAGTCAAAAGCAATAAAAAATCCTATTTTAGGTTCTCTGAAGAAAACAAAATATTATTATGTGGACTTCCCTTTGAGGTATCAAAATCTGACATTTCACATTGTCTGGAGTAGGAAGAGTCTGCCAGAGAGTTGGCATGCACTATGGAAGGGCCACAGTGAGTGTGCGCTGGCTTGCTGCTCAAGTTTAGATGGTCAACATGCTGCCATTTAGCTGTCAGACTGTTAGAGATGACCTAACAACTCCACCTCTAAGACTCTAGCCTATAGAAATTCTTACAAGGACATATAAATGTGAACATGTAGGGATGCTCTCAGTAGCATTTTTGTAATGAAAAAATAAAAGAACATAAATGCCCATTAAGAGAAGATGAATAAACTAAATGATGCTACCTTCATATGGTAGAATTTTATGCAACTATTAAAAGAATAAAATAGAGCTCTGTGGGCAGAAATGGAAATCTGTCTGTCATAAATCAGAATACTGCAATGTGCAAAAATGCCTAGCACATAATCCAAATTTGTAAAGCAGAACTGTAAATCTGTCTATATTTTGGAAAATATTTATTTATTTGGCTGGGCTGGGTCTTAGTTGTGACATGCGGGACCTCCATTGCATCATTTGGGCTCAGTAGTTGTGGCCCATGGGCTTAGCTGCTCAGCAGCACGTGGGATCTTAGTTCCCCTGACCACAGAGGGAACCCATGTCGCCTACATTGGAAGGTGGATTCTTAACCACTGACCGCCAGGGAAGCCCCATAAATCCATCTGAATTTCTACATACTTTCATGTCTAAGATACTCATCACAGACTTCACTGTGGGGAGGAGGATTTTACTTTATACATTTGTCTGATTTGCATTATTTGGCAATGAGAACCTGTAACTTTTATAATTTAAAAACATGTGTTTTTCTTAGGATGACTTGGCACACAGAGGTTTGACAGAATCTGGGCCACAGAGACAATAGAGGGCACCCTGGAGTAGGAGGCTCCCCGGGGCTCTGTCTTCTCCTACGGAGCCCAAACATGAGGACTCCCGAGCGCTGGGCTGGAAGCGACCCTGGTGGGGACCCTCTCCAACTCCCTTCCCATCACAGCCCTGACCCAACCCGGCCCACAGAAGTCTCCGTTTATTGAGCACTTACTTTCTGCTCGGTGGATCCTCACTTGTAAATATCATTGCCCTCATGGATAGAGGAGGACCCTGTATCTCCGAGAAGTTAAGTGACCTGTCAGAGGCCACACAGGCAGGGACGGACCAGTGCCCAGGTCTGGCTGACCCCAGAGCTCTCACAGTGTGGGGAGGCAGCAACATGCCTACAGCTGCCCCATCCCTGAATGTGAAAGAATCCGAGCTGGGACCCAGAGAGAGGTGATAGAGACAAGACCATGAAGGTAAGGGAGGGGACGAACATGGGCCAGAGTTCAGAAGGATTTTAGGCGTTGGTTCCTGAGAAGAAAACGTCAGCATCCAAGCAGCGGAAAAGAAAAAGGCTCTGCACTAGGCGCCCACAAGGCAAACCCTCAGACTCCCCTGACCGACTCAGTGGAAATCTGGAAGCAGCCTCCAGACCCACAGGGAAGCTGGCAGGGGAGGGGTCAGAGGAGACAGTCTGTGAGGAGCCTAAAAAGTAAAAAAAAAAAAAAAAAACCAGCCCCAGCCCACGAGAGCCAGCTGGAGGGCACTTGGGAAGAGCCGCTAGCAAGGTGAGAAAAGACCCAGGCCGAGGCTCTGGCCCAGATTCCCAGAGCGGAGAATGTGGTCTAGACAGGAAGTGATTAAGGCCTGAATGAAGAATTTCCCCAAAAGTCGGGTCAGGGAAAGGACAGAGCTGGCGCACAGTGGGAGGCAGGGCAGAGAGGCCAGCGTGCCCGCCCGGGGAGGGCAGGTGGGCCCCTCTCCCACCTCACCGCATCCCACGAGAAGTCCCGGCAGCCCAGAGCAGTGACGTTCCATCTCCACAGCCCAGGGACCGGCTTGCCTCCCGTAACAGGCCGTGGGGGCTGCCGGATGGCTCCCCACGCTTGCTCCAAGGACACTTCTGTTTTCCCAAAGGGTCAAGAGTTGAGGGCTTGTTTGGTTAGGAAATCCTTGCAACTTAAAGGATCACTAATCCCACGTGGTCCTAACCAAGCTTCTTCCCAGCAATCTTACCTAAGGGTAGGTTGGCAGAAAAGATCTTGGTGCCTGAGTTAATGGTAAACTCAATGAGTCAGCGTGTCAAGTTAGGGTGTGTCCCTGAGCCCCACGGAGCTCCTGGAACCTCGAACACAGGACCTGGCTCCATTGCAGATGCTCGATAACCAGTATTTGAATGTAGAAATGAGGCTGTGCCCAAACGCTGGTTTGGTCTCAGGGCACACTAATCAAGTCTGTGACTTCTGGGAGCAGGTGTGACGAGGGCAGTTCAGGGTGTGGGTTTGGATCAGCTCGTGAAGCATGCCCAGAGAAAAGAGGGGACAAAGAACCAAAGGGGAACATTCCAGGAGGTAAGATTTCTGTCGAGCACCAGGGAGAACTTGAGACAAATTAGCGCTCTCTAGTAAGAAAACCACTGTCCAGAGGGACTGCCTCTGCAGACTCAAGAACAGGCTGGAAGACAATCAGCTGGAAAGTTCCAGGGAAGCAGTTAGAACGGACGACTCCTGAGGACCCAGCCTTCGCTGTGATTCTCCAAACTTATCCAAACTCCTCTTGAATCACTTTATGTTTTTGACCCAAATAGCATGACAGGCTACCAAGATATTTGCTTCCTATCAATATTTCAAGAAAAAGAAATGTATTATTTTCACTTGTCTTCAAATTTCTTCTTTCAATCTTCAGAAGGGATCTCTTAGTTCTAAGGCTCCAAAGACCCACTGGATGAAGAACTTTTGGATAGACTGTTAACTATCATCAGACTCTGGCTTCAGTTTCTGTTTGTTAATTTGTTTTTAAACAAACACACCAGAGGCAGCATGGGATCCTGGAAAGCACTGCTGAGCCAGAGAGATCCCAAGTGCTAATTGTGGCTATATCTTTTGGGAGCCTTGAGACTTTTGCATGCATGCTAAGTCACTTCAATCGTGTCCAACACTTAACGACCCCATGGACTGTAGCCCACCAGGCTCTTCTGTTCATGGGATTCTCCAGGCAAGAATACTGGAGTGGGTTGCTATGCCCTCCTCCAGGGGATCTTCCCAATCCAGGGACCGAATCCACATCTCTATGTCTCCTGCATTGGCAGGCAGGTTCTTTACACCTAGTGCCACCCTGGGAAGCCCATTGGGTGCTGGTTAATCTCACTGGAACCTTGGTCTCATCTACTAATTGGGGTCAAATGTTCCTCCCTTCAGGAAGCTGCAAGAATTAATCAGGACCAGGATTTCCCTGGTGGTCCAGTGTCTAAGACTCCATGCTCCCAATGTAAGGGGCCCAGGGTTTGATCCCTGCTCAGGGAACTAGATCCCTGTTCAGGGAACAAGCCGCAACTAAAGACCCTGAATGCCACAGTGAAGACCCAGCACAGTCAGATTAACAATTAAATGTTTCAGAAAAAAAAAAAAGAGATGCCTGGGATTAAGTATGGAAAGTGAAAGTGAAGGTGTTCAGTTGTGTCTGACTCTTCGCAACCCCATGGACTGTAGTCTACCAGGCTCATCTGTCAGTGGGATTTTCCAGGCAAGAATACTGGAGTGGGTTGCCATCTCCTCTCCAAGGGATCTTCCCAACCCAGGGATTGAAACCCGGTCTCCCACATTGTAGGCAGACACTTTACCATCTGAGCCGCCAGGGACCCAGTATGGAAAATGCGTACACAATAAGGCAATACAAGAAGTATTTAATGTTTGTAGGCTTAATGGTGAGTGAGGGAGGGAACAAAACAGCACATTTGGACATACAGGTGTACTCCAGGGTGGCTGCCATTTCTAACTGTCTTCTTCTGAGTCTTGTGAATTTGTAGCCACACCTCTCTTTCTGACCTTCGGCTACCTGACTAAGTTCCACTACACACTTACTCACCAAGAACAGCTCCAAAGGACTTCCTGTTCTCAGAACTGAAATCCCCCTCAACAGATGAAGTTTTACTCCCATGGAGGCAATTCAGAAGTTATGCCAAGGTTCTTAAGAAAGTTCCGGAAGAGGAGGTCCAGAAATGTGGTAAGCGACACCAGTGTGGTGGAAATAAGCCCGCGGTCTCTCCAGGGAAACCCCCCTGAAAGAGACAATGCTCACTTGGAAAATATGAGTTCTGATCTGCTTGCCGAACAAAGAAAATGACAGCTGCCTGCTTTCGCTGCAGCTACACAAAATGTCCCAGAATGCTGAGGCCAAAACGCCCTTCGAGATCAGCCAACCTCAGACCCTGCCATGGCCGCCTCAGACACACACACACACCCCCACTATTCAGATGGGAAGACTGAGGAAGAAGGAAGAAGTCAGAAGTGAGCCAGCCGCAAAACAGAGCTGGCTATAATCCTCCTGCCTCCAAGTTTCCTGATCTTTCCACCACCCAAAGCTGCCTCTCAACTCAGCCAAACCACACTGCCAGCTCTGAATCAGGGCCTGACTGGCAACAAGCCCCCATTCTCTCTTCAAGGCTCTCAGGAAACCAGTCAGATCCCTGGGTTCCAACCTCTGTTCCCAAGTAGACTTAAACTCACGAAGACTGAGCCGGAACCTGGCCAACTCTGGGTACTGTGGAGGGGAGTGAAATCCCCCCAGTAAGAGATACGCCGGGGCCAGCTCCCAGGAAGAGCGGCGTGGCCTCCACACCCAGGCCTCTGATGGCCAAGCTAGAGCCATAGAGAGATCATAGGCTTATCCCTCCAAAGAGGATTTGTGGTGTGGGTTAATACACACCCAGAGAATCCGGGTAAGGACAGATGCTCTTCTAAAAATTCTCTTTGGCTAACAGCTTTAATCTTCTCACCCATAAAGTCATTCATCACAGCTGGGCTGACCTGCCATCTCTTCTGCTCCTTAGAGGAAGTTGGGGTAAACAGTGGAATGTCATTAGGGGTTGGGAAAACCTTCTCACCGCCAAAGATGGACTATATAGCTTTGAGAGGTGGTGAATTCCCCGTCCCTGGATGTATCTAAGGAAACGCGGGGTAGCCATTTGGTAGAGGAGAGGACGAAGATTTTTCAGGTCTTTCCTACCCTGACTGTACCATTCTGCGACCATCAAGAAGAGGGGAAATGGAGGGGCCTGGAAGACGGCTGGTGAGCCCCTCGGAACCCTGGCCGGGGGAAGGCGCATGTCTTACCTCGGCAGCCTTGTTTCGCCCCTCGTATAGCAGCAGCTCCTCCGACAGCAGGAGGGTCCGGGCGGGGTTACAGAGATCTAAAGGCTGTAAACAAAGGCAACCGTTCAAAGAGGCCTGGTGTTGGGGAGGCAGCCTGCCAAAGCCAGCCGCAGAAGACTGCCAGCCCTGCCCCCACACCCCAAGAGCCCACACGCCCCCTCATACACGGACAGAAACAGAAAGACAGAGGCGCTCATCCTGGGCGGAACTGCTGCTGCGACCTTCCCCACCAGCCTTCACACACTTGCCGCAGGAAGTCGGACCACATGGCCGGGCCTGCCCCAGCTCCCTGACTGCACTGAGCTCCCGGGCCTCCCAGCCCCCACACTCCCTCCTGGGTCCTATTCATGCTGTCAGGCCCCGGCTCTCAGGACGCCTCTGGCAGCATCCTGAGAGCCTCAGGCCAGGTCTGGTCACTTGAGTGCCTCTGAAGGCCAAGTCAATCCCTGCTCCACATTCATTAACACACTTAAATTCACGGACTCCTTCTCTGTTGTCAGTTCCCAGGGACCAAGTCTCACCCAAACCTCTCACCCCACTCCATGACCCTGCCCCATACCCACTGCGGGGCCCCACCTCCCTCTCTTATTGGTAGAGAACCCGCCTGCCAATACAGCAAACATAAGAGACGCAGCTTCGATCCTTGGATTGGGCAGATTCCCTGGAGGAGGGCATGGCACCCCACTCCACTATTCTTGCCTGGAAAATCCCATGGACAGAGGAGCCTGGTGGGCTACCGTCCATAGAGTCACAGAGTCAGACAGGACTAAAGCAACTTAGCATGCACAGGAAAGCACATATAGGCGGTAAAACTAAAGAAAAGCAAGGAAATGATTATCATAAAGTCAGACTAGTGGGTACATCTCTGGGCAAGGAGGGTATTACAATCAGGAAGAGAGACACACAGCCTCTGGAGTGGTGGCAATGGTCTAGGCCTTTTTCTTAGTGGATATCTACTTTATAATTACTCATTAAACCCTCCATTTAAGTGTCATGCCATTTTTGGCTTATATATTTTACAACTCAAAAGTTTTTTTGACTTCTTAAAACTAATTTTAATTTTTTTGGTAAAAATTTTAAAATTAAAAATAGGCCCTGTGGATTCCAAGACCTTTGTGGTTACATCCCAAGAAAGAGGAGAGAGATGGAAAGAACGGCAAAGGGCAGACCCTGCTTACGGAGCCGTCTGGAGAGAATCATGTCGCCTGCCAGAGCTGCAGGCATCCTAAAAAGTATGAATTCAAAGATTCACTGGCCAGTGACAGGCCCAGAGGATGCCAGGGAGAGCAGAGAAGGCAGGCATGGTCAGAAATGAAGCTCTTGGGGCTATGCCTCCTCTAGGCTGCTGATGAGAAGATAAACTGAGTCTTTCTGCGCAGCAATTTGTCAACATATGTATAAAGAGCTTTTAAGATGTTTATGACCAATGACCCAGTCATTTCACTTCTAGGAATCTCTCCCAAGGAAAATAATCTGAGAAGCAATTCACGCATGAGGATTTTCATCACAGTTATTTACAATAACAAAAGAGCAGACATAACATAAGTGTCTGAATAGAAGAGAGGGCTGGTTAAATAAATATGAAACATCCATGTAATAGTGTCCAACCACTATGAAACACAGACCCAAAGAATATTTAACAATGTAGGAAATGTTCATGCTGCAATTCTTATTTAAAAAAAGGCAACAGAATAGAAAATGTACAATACAGTCTATTTGGGGTTTTTAATATGACAAGCACGGGAGAGATATCTAAATGCTCACATGGGTTATATATCTGGGTGATAGAATAAATAAAGGTTTGGAAATGGGAGAGGAAGAGAAGGAAAACAAGAAAAAAATAGGAGAAGGGAAATCTAAATAGTCTCAGGCCGCCAGCTAGTACGGGCCAGACGTGTTTGCTAAGACCAAGGAGACCAGACAAGAGGCCAGACCTCGAGGCTCGCTCGCTCGGTCGTCTCCAAACAACAAAGCGCTGCAGGAGCCAGGAACAGAAGCCTCGGCACACAGGCCCTGCGAGATACAACAGGCAACTGCAGCGTGCCTGCAGTGTCCCCAGAGACAGGGGAGCGGGAGGGGGACCCCCTTGAAGTCGCGCCTCCCTGCCCCCACTCTCCTGTCCCTCCTCCTGGAAGCCTCTGCTCCCTCAGTATCACCCCCAGCATCCCGAGCCCCCAAGCTCTTTGGCTTTCTCCCAGTCCTGGAACGAGACACCATCTCTGCGTCCCAGAGCGAAGGGCCCTCTCTCTCTTTCTCACCTCCCCCAGAGGGAGCCCTGGGGGTCGGCCGTCAGCTCACCTGGACAAAGACGGGGAACACCAGGACCTTGGGGGCCAGGGTGACGTAGGTGCCATAGCTTGAGTGCGGGGTGTGTGGCCTCATGACGGGGCAGTTCTGGTAGTTCCCGTGGCCCTTCATGGTCTGCACCGTCTTCATCAGCCGACACTTCTTCCCCAGGCCCGTGTAAGACTTCCCTTTACTGGGACTCCCTGATTCTGTGTGACAGAGATGGGGGTGCACTGTGAGGCATCGCCTCTGTAGAAACGGGGTGCACGGTCTCAGTCCATCAGCTGCCATTTCCAACGGCATCTACCATGAGCCTGGCCCTGAGCAAGGTGCTGAGAAGATGGGGAGACCTCGGAAGGCAGTCTCTCTCACACTGCAGGAGGGATACTGACATGCAAACCTGCACCTCCAGGGCGAGGACAGGGCAGGGAACTGCCAGCTATGATAAAGGTGGCCCAGGACCCAAATCAGGCCTATTGGTTTGGCCTCGTACTTTTAAAAATCAGAAAGTTTCTCAGATTTGAAAACTCAGAAGATCTGGCCTCACCAAGCCCACAGGCTACATCAGTCCATCAATCAGCTGCAGCGCACCGGGTGGCAGAGCATGTGTGCTCCGGCTGGCCCGCATCCCCACCCTGGGCACATCCAGCACCGCTGGCCTATTTCACTGCCTCCCGGGTCCCTCAAACAAAGAGAGTGGAGGGCCTGTCTCCGCAGTGATAGCAGAGACACTGGACTTTCCTAGGACGTGTGGGGCTGGCCCTCAACTAGCCAAGGGAGCTGGAGCAGCCTGGCTGACCAAGTCAGTCTGGGATAAGGGGTGGCGCGGCTGCTCCAGTTACCGGGGAAGCCCACCAGCTCTGAGCCAGAGAAGGAAAGAAAGAAAAGAAGGGGCTCCCCTGGTGGCTCAGAGAGTAAAGAATCTGCCTGCAATGCAGGAGACCTGGGTTTGATCCCCGAGTGGGGAAGATCCCCTGAAGATGGAAATGGCTACCCACTCCAGTATTCTTGCCTGGGGAATTTCATGGACAGAGGAGCCTGGCGGGCTACAGTCCATGGGGTCACAAAGAGTCAGACACGACCGAGGCAGAGGGCTGCACCCAAATCCCACTTCTCTGCTCCCTGCTTGGTAACCACCAGCAACTCACTTCCCCACTCAGACTCTTGGTTTCCTCACTGCAGTTATGGTATCAAGCTCATGGGGTGGCCATGAGGACTAAATGAGATGCTCCAAGTGAAGCCCCCAGAACAATGCCTGGGACCCGGAAAGGGAGCCATAAAAGCGAGCTGCTAACTCATTGTGGTTCTTGTTGTGATTCCTCCACTTGGAAAAGGAAGTTGATTAGGTGCTCCAGGGATACTGGGAATCCTCGGCTTCATCACAGACAGGAAGTACTCCCTGGCTTGGCCATCAGAAATTATTCTCATCAGAAAAGAAAGAAGAGAGGAGAAATGAGAGAAAGCGAATGAACCGACCCCAGGAAGAGAGCAGAGGGCTGCAGGGAGTCCCCCTATAAGGGGACACGGCAGGACACGTGCCCTCCACTAGACCAGGAGTGGCACACAGGTCTTTATTGTGTCTCATCCAATGGGCAGAGGTGCACAACACGGAGTATCTAAAAAGTCAGGAATTCTTGGACATAAGCAAGTAGGAGACAAACTCCAGGGTATTCAAGCTCCACACACATCTGAACCCCTTCCAAGAATCCCTGCTGTCAGGCAGGCAACTAACCAGCCCTTCCTGATCTGCTTGCCCAGCCCACAGGGTCTCCTTCCACCACCCCCAATCCTGGCAACCAGGGAGTGAGCAGGTGACCTGACCCCAGCTATATCTCGGGGAAGCTCCCCACCGACGCACAGTCCAGGGCCTCAGAGGAAAAACCAGCTAGGAAGGTTTCACACTTGCTTCCTCCGCCCACCCCATGCCCCTTCTCACAGAGACAGGTGAGAAAAACAAGTCACCCGCCCCCCTACATACACACACACATACAAGTGACCACCCATTGCACCAGTATCTTGGGGCAGCGCTCAAACTATAATAACCTAAACCACTTCCTGCCTCTTCAAGGAGTCACTTAGAGGAGAAACAGCATGAGCCCAGGATGGAGGTGGGGGCCAGATGCACCGCCAGACACTTTCGCAGCTCCTCATCTGCTCTGACCCCGGACGTCAACCCCCGAGGGCTCTGTGCTGGCAGCCTCTGCTGAAAGAACCCATCTCGGCCCTCAAGCTCTGCACTGGGTTTGAGTTGGACCAGACACCTGAGCTAGAGCACTGGCCCCCTCAGAGACTGACTGTGCATTCTGAACAGGCTCCATCGCCTTCTTATCCAGTGTTCCCCACTGCAAAGTAGAGATAATGCAGACTGCTACCTTGCCTGAGCCAGGGCAGGTGGGGGCTCCCACAGGAGACCTGATGGGCAAGGGTTTGGTGAATGGTACCAGATTCTGAGGGCATGAAGATTATAAACCCAAGTCAATGAATAATCTACTCATCAAGTCTGGCATTAAGACGAGGATGCTGGACCACAAACTGTAGCATGAATGGGGATCCCAGGGTCAATCTGGAACTGTCTAATCTGACACAACCAAGCCTCGACCAGATAAGGTGAAACCACACAGGACTGACAAGGCAAAATAGACCCAACTTAGAAGGGTTGGGTTTGCTAATGCCAAAATCTGGGTCCTGTGTGCCCCGGTCTGACCTTTAAAGGCATCCACTTCTTTCTTTCCCGAGCCCAGCTGCACAGGGCATCGTAGAATCTTCACCTTGGGCCTAGAAAGTAATGAGTAAGCCACTCGATACATACCCCTGCCTTCAGGAGGGAAGCAGTCCCACTTTATAGACAAGGCAACTGAGGCCTGGAATGACTGGAGGACTTGCCCAAGGTCATCTGGACAGTAACTGGTACAAAGTGGGATCACCCCAACCTATGTGGTATGTCTTCATGTCCCCTGTCCACACACCCTGGATAATGTGTAGCAAGTGGGCTTGATTCTTCAAAACTGACTTTTGAAGTATCTTTTTTAAAGAAACAGTCCCAGTTGTAACCTGACTACCTAAGCTCTGTGAAAGCAAACTCCTTAACTTCCCCCCTGATACCACTTACACCCTCTGGTCCAAACCCCGATCCACCCCTTCAACACCTGTTTCACTGACCAAGCAGAGTAATTACTCAGCTTCTGAGGAGAGCCCCAGCAGCCATCCCACCCCAACAGCAGAGAATCTGAGGCTGGGCCACCTTCACAGGGCAGGGGACAATGCCGGGGCATCAGCGGGTTGGGAGAAAACGCCAATGACAAGTGGGCAAGCACCTCAGGCCCCAGAAGGGCACCAGACCCCGTTCAACTCAGGTCGGCTCAACCCACTCTCCTGAGAGCAGGCCAGAGGGCCAGGCAGCCCGGCCAGAGGAGGGGACAGAAGCCTGCACGCTGGTGACAGCCTTTGCCTCTGGAGACCCCTAAGTGCATTTAAGGGAAGGTCTGTGCCCTGAATTCCACCCCTTCCTCTGAACCCAAGGACCAGGAGCCAGGAACGCAGGATCCCTGGTAAAGAGAAAAAAAACGTCCTTGAATCACCAAATAATTATTCTCATGAAGAATAAATGAAGTCAGGTCAAGTTCTTAATATAATGCATTCAGAAGTTACCACTGTTATTAACAGCATCATCATTTCCTCACTTGTCCCTCTCCCACGGCCTGCATGACGGTGCCCGTCTTGGTTTGCTGAGTACTGTGCTGTCAGAGGGGAACCGAAACCTGGATAGAGTTTGGGGGGACACCAGGAGGCATCTCTCGAGGAGGATCCACACCTGCCCGCCTCCGGGGACACACCTGTCCAGCTCCCTCAGCGGCAACCGAAGTCACTCCCCTCAGTCGGTCACTCAATTAAAATTCTGTTGCATACCTGCTGTCTGTCAGGCCCTGGGACCAGCATCAGACACATGGAGAGGAGCAGGCCTAGGCCCTGCCCTTAATGGGGTCACCGTTTAGCAGTGACGTCTCCTCTTTAACCTAATGCATTGACTAAAAGCTTTCTTTAAAACTCAGTGTTGAAACATTATCAGACTTCTCTCCGGAAGGAACACGGATTCACTTCCAAACAATCAAGCCCAGATACCCAAATGCCCCACCTGGAGAGAATGAAGATGGCTTCCATTCTCAACCCTGAGCCTGGTGGCAGCCCTTTCCCCCCCAAAAGACACCTGCTCTCAGCAAGCATCTTCATGCTACTGACAGAGGGGACTGGGAGGGAGCAGGTCAGCAAGTGGCTGGGAAAAGGCCATTCTCAAGGTAGGAGGTCAAAGGACATTCTATGGGCTCTGAAGCAAGGGCTCAAGGAAATCAGGGTCAGTACCATGGACCACCAGGTAAGGCTGGTCTCAGCCTTCCAGATCCCATCTGGCCTTCAGCCAGTGCAGAAAGGACCTAAAAGAATGCTCAGCCCACTCCAGCATCAACTCTTGACACTTCAGGCCTCCTGGGAGAAGGTGCTGGCTTTGAGACCAGCTTCTCTCCCTGGTCCTTAAAAAACTAAGGCCAGGATTTTCCGGACAAGAGAGAAAAATCCATTCAAACAGCAGACATTTGTGCACTTCAAAGACAACTGTCTTCTGTGTCGCATCACTCAGTAAACAGGCTGCTACTCAAAACCATTATCTCCCTCTTCCCTCCTGACAACCCTCTAAAGTGGGAATTATCAGCCCTGTTTTATAGATAAAGAAACCGAGGTTCAGTGAGGGGTCATGAGTTGTTTAAACTCACACAACTCCAATTTGAGACCTCCCAGCTCTGAATTCCATGCCTCTTTCCTGGGTCAGCCTGACCACGGCCCAAACAGCACCTTACACTTAGTAACACTGGTTGAGGGGCTTCCCTGGTGGCTCCCATGGTAAAGAATCTGCCTGCGATGCAGGAGATGCAGGAGACACAGGTTCAACCCCTGGGTCAGGAAGATCCCCTGGAGGAGGGCATGGCAACCCACTCCAGTAATCTTGCCTGCAGAATCCCATGGACAGAGGAGCCTGGTGAGCTGCAGCCCATAGGGTCGCAAAGAGTCGAACATGACTGAAGAGGCTGAGCACATGCACGTACAACGCTGGCTGAAGCTCAGCTGAACGCCTGAGCTCTGAACACCATCTCCTAGACTGCTCTGGAAAGATGCCCTCGCCTCCTTCTCAGCTCAGGATCCGAGGAAGAAAGATATTGGCTCAGTGAGGAAGGAGAGGTCCCAAGAGGAGACAGTCTGTGTCAGTCTGCGGTTGGGGCAGGGGGTTCCTGACACTGTTGGGAAGGCCTCCCAGCAGAGGAGGAGGCAGGGCCTGGCCTCTCAGCTAACCTCGCCATCTCTCTGGGGCTTGGAGGGCAGACTCACCTTCGGGGATGGTGTCCTCCTGGTACACAGGCCGCAGGAGCTGCAATGGAAAGACAGAGAACCCCTCAGCCCAGCCACGGGGCAGACAACTAAGCAGGCAGCTCAGCCCTGGCCTCGGGATAGGACAGCAGCCCCTCCGGGCATAAGGGCAAAACTGTCATCTGGCTAAGGAGCCAAGAGGAGGCTTGTAGGGAATACAGGCTTTGGAATCCTCCAGAATGTTTGAGTGTCGTGAGGCTTTAGCTGTCATCGAGTTTAACTGCTGGGCTGGATCCTCAACGTCTTGATGGCAACTTGTTCCAAAGCATGTGCTGTGGAACACTGGCCTTAGGGATGCTAACAACTCTGCCACAAAGGGGGACACCATCAGGGGTGTTTGGGAACCACTCGGGCAAACAAGGGTGAACCACCTTCTTCACTGCAGATGCCCTCAGAGCCTCAAACAGGTGAATACACACTGGACATCTGCTCCAAGAGAAAGACAGCAGGAGGTATTTCTCAAGCTTTTTTGACCTCAGGACACATTTTCCCCAGAATATCTCAGGGAACCAGTGTCTTGGAATACACACACACCATCATCGCACCGCACCATCTTGAAGTTCCTTTGACAGGCGCTCACCGCCCACCATGTGGCCTATTCTGCTATGGAAAAGCGCCGTCTGGCAGAAGGCACTTCCTTCTTTCGAGGTGAAACCTTCCACCCCATGATGTCCCCTGGTCCTGGATCTGTGCCCTGAGATCACAAAGACCCACCTGCTCTCTCTGCCCAGGACAGCCTGACAGGACAGCCCTATGGACGGCTTACCCCGCATCCCTGCTCCCTACGCTGAGCCCCTGGGAGGCTCCTCCCAACACAGCTGAGTCCTTGCCTCTTCCTGGCTTCACCACTCAGGGAGCCCGGCCCTTCACCTTCCCGGAACCGGCTGTCCATACCTGGCTCCCGGGGTTCAGCGGGGCCAGGATGATGTAGTTGGGGTCGGTGGGGGCCGTGGCGCGGGACAGCGCAGGCAGGGTGTGCTGGCTCCCGCGCTTGGTCAGCTCCGTATAGCGCTCCCAGCCGCCGAGCAGCAGCCCGTCCGCGCTGTCACATACCAGGTGACAGCTATGGCGGTGCTCCGGCCGGGCCTGGGCCCCGTGCGTGCAGTTCTTCTCCCGTTTATTGGGGGGCGACAGGAGGTCAAGGGTCGACTTGCAGGAGGCCCGTCGCAGGACCCCTCCATCTGGCCCGGGCTTGACCTGGGGGACCATGCGCCATACAAGCAGGATGATCTCACTGGGGCAGCTCCTGGAAGTGGCAGGGAGCAGGGATCACAAAGAGACGTTGAGTCTGCTGCTGCTGCTGCTAAGTCGCTTCAGTCGTGTCCGACTCTGTGCGACCTCATAGACGGCAGCCCACCAGGCTGCTCTGTCCCTGGGATTCTCCAGGCAAGAACACTGGAGTGGGTTGCCATTTCCTTCTCCAATGCATGCATGCATGCTAAGTCGCTTCAGTCGTGACCGACTGTGCGACCCTATGGACAGGAGCCCACCAGGCTCCTCTGCCCACGGGATTCTCCAGGCAAAAATACTGGAGTGGGCTGCCATTTCCTTCTCCGGAAGTTGAGTCTGGGGGAGACCAAAGTCAGGCAGGGTAGGGTCCTGCGGGGGCAGAAAGGAAGAGAAGGGAAGTGGGCAGGGGAAGCCTCCAGTGCTAGAACAGGAAAGGATGCAGAGGTCAGCTAAAGCGGAGACAGCAAAGGGGTCCCTGAGGTCAATTTGAGTTGACTGGCAGGGGCCGGGAAGGGCACTGGTAATAAAGAAAGAAGACCATATTCAACTAGTGATGTTCCTCCTGAACACAAAGTACAAGCAAGCAAGCCACCTGTGTAAACCCCTTACCTAGTCATTCTAGAAGCAAACCAAAAATGGGGCTGTAACTCAGAGGGTCAAAATTGAGAGGTCCTATACATTTTAAGTCTTCCCTGGTGGCTAGACGGTAAAGACTCTGCCTGCGATGCAGGAGACCTGAGTTCAATCCCTGGGTGGGGAAGACCCCTGGAGAAGGAAATGGCAACCCATTCCAGTATTCTTTCCTGGAGAATCCCATGGACTGGCGGGCTACAGTCCATGGGGTCCCACAGAGTCAAACACGACTGAGCTGCTAACACTATGTACCAGGATACATTTTAAAGAATAACTGTTTAATTATACAACTAAAAAAAACATTTGCAACATCTACACAGCCTAGAAAACAGAGGGCTTAGCTCTGAGGTAGCAGAACTAATGAGCTCAAGCAGAAAGCGACCCCTTGGAGCCATGCCATGAACCACAGGGTGTGTCTGAGAGCTTCTTCCCCACTGTTTGCTCTGGGATTCAGATTCACTTGGAGCCTAAACCTTCCAGTTTCAGGCTAAGTAACTGATTTCCGGAGGAGCAAAGCAAATGGCTCGCAGCTTGTGAAGGAGGGACAGGCCAGGCATGTACCCAGGGCTGGGGAGGGGAGGGGAGGTGCAAGGCAGCCCCAGGCCCCAGACCGCCCGCCGCCCCCGGTCACCGGATCTCGTGGGCCAGCTCCACGCATTTCCAGTGCTCCACGGGCCTCTCGTTCAGCCGAAGCACCGTGTCCAGCTGCTGCAGCCCTGCCCGCTCCGCCGGGCCCCCTGCAGGGACAAAGAAAACTCCTGGAGCCCACGATCCCCTCAGAGGGCCTGGGGTCCTTGGCCTCCACGGTGACCTTGGACAAGGACCGCTCCCCTGTTTCTTCATCTGTGAACGAGGGCCTGACCTCAGGGGTGCTCAGGAAGGATCTTGAAGGGAGGCTCCCCTTTGCCTTCATTTCCTCCCTGCCTGCAGACCCAGTACTGGCTGACCTCTCTGCTGCCCACCTCCCCGCCAGGCCCCCTCCCTCCCCGGGATCTCCCACCCTTCGAGAACCCTTCCGTGCTGCCAGGCTCAAGGCAAGGGGGACACCCAGATCGCCACGTCCCAGCTTCTCCTCTTAGGATGCGCACTCTGTGACTAGAAGAAGTCTTTTCTTTGTGAAAAGTAGAGAGGGAATGACTATTTTAAAGGCTCATCAGGCTGGACTAGGATAAAACACTGATTCCAAATCAAGTTCATAAATGACTCTCATTTTCCCATGCAGCCATTACTGAAAATATAGGTTTAGTTCCTGTTTGAAATGATTGGGAAACAAAATATAAAAGCCTATCTTCACTTTGATTAAAAACAAAACAAAACAAAAAAGAGTAGGTGTATTTTCATAGACCTCACTTTCATCTGTGGCCATTTAAAAATATTATTCTTTTCATTTTGAAAGGCCAGGACACTTCAATCCAGGTTGGGGCTCCCCTTTCAGCTCCAACATCTTGTTTGCTAAGCCCAGGGCCGCCATCACCCAAGATGCTCACTCACCGGAATCCACAGCCTGGACTCGGACCGGAGAGTCACAGCAGATGGTGAAGCCAAAGCCGTCCTTCCCCCGTGGGATGGTGATCTAGGACACAGCCCTGCCCAGTTAATCCCAGAAGCCGGGAGGCTGCCGCCTCTGCTCCAAGGTCGGGAAGCCCACGGGCCCCACCCCAGAGCCACCTTCCTCTCCAAGGTTTCTGGAGCCAAGAAGGAGGCTGGCCGGCCCCTCGCTGCCCCTATCTCGGCCCAGGCGTCTTGAGCACTGGGTTGTGGGCCAAGTAGGAGCTAAGCCAGGTCTGGGACCAACAGAGCTCTGGAAGGGCGCATCTCACCATCTCCAGCCCTGGCAGACATGTGACCTAGCCCTTTACCTGAGGGCCTGCCGCACTGCCTGGCTCCACCTCGCCTGTGCCCCACTGCTTGCTCGGTCCTTTTCTCCTTCCCTCAGCGGCTCATGGTGCATCGGCCCAGGGCTGGCCCTGCGCCGAGGGCCCAGAGACAAGGCTGACCTGCCGGCTGACCTCCCAGAACACAGGGGCGGGAAGACAGGGATGCACACACTCACTCTCAGGCCAGGGGGCGGGGGCCACATCCTGGGAGGGTCTCAGGGCCATCAACCATCAGGGCTTCCAGGTATCCAGTGAGGGCTCCCAGGTGAGAGGCAAGTGAGGGCACAGTCCCGGCTGATCCTGAGCTAGCCGGTGACCTCCCTGTGGCCTGCGTGCGTGGCAGGTCCACAGCCCCTCCTTTCAGGAGTTCCCTGAGAGGGCCCTGCCATCGCATGCTCCTCTCAAAAGCAACAGGCAATTCCTGGGCTTATAAAGATCTCTCCAAAGCAAAGCAGGACATGATAAGCCTTAGAGCAAAAGGTGAGGAGGGTGCTAGGAAGACTCCTCTGTGCTTTGACTTTAGAAGACAGGCTTGGTGCACGGCAGGAGCCAGCCAGCGTTCCATTCATGAGGATGGCACGGTAGTGTCCCACCAGCAGTGGGCCACTGGTTTAGTTCAGGGTGGCCTTGCTGCATGCCCTCTCTTGCACACCCCAGTTAGGCTTTGGGGGGAGTGCAGAAGGCCCAGCCCCCGCTCATTCCAAGAGCAATTCCTGGCTGCTCAGAGCAGGGCTCTGAGAGCCACAGACTAAAGCAGCTGAAGTCAGAAAAGGGGTCTGGCTCCCTGGATGTGGGGTGGGCCCTGGTGCAGCATTGGTAAAGGGCACCCCCACCCCGACCCCAGGCAGGCTGAGGAGGAAGCCAGCTCAGCAGCCCTGGAGGAGCTCAAGGGTCACGGCCTTGTGAGGAGACTTCTAGCTCCTTCCTTTAGGGGCTGCCTCTTCCAGGTTGGGCGCCTGGCATTCACCTGCCAGTTGACCCAAAGGCCAGGCACGGGAAAGGGGAGGGCCAGGGAGCCTGGGGTGGCCAAGGCACTTGGATGCTGTCAGGAGGCCCCTGAGGCTCTGCTTCCCACCAGCCCTGGGCCTGGATTCAAAGTGAGTTTGTAAAACAGGAAATCTGACAGACAAGGGGAAGGGGGGGCGGGCAGGAAAATACCCCGTTCCCATAAGAATTCTGGGAAAACACACAGCTAAGGCAGGAAGAGAAAAAAATGGAAAGAAAGAAAGAAAAACAAACTCTGGAGTGAGTGCGGAAAGCCCAGGCTGAAGCCAAGGGACGATGACAGGAGACCAGTCCACTCCAGGTGACCAGCGGGGACTTTAGGGGCCTCAGGGCGACCCTCAACCCAGGCCCAAGCTGGGATGCCAGCACTTTCCCCATCTCCCCAGCGAGGGCCATAGCCTCTCCTGCCACGGGCACGGCTCTGAAAAATAGGTCCCAGCACCCAGTGCTGACAGTCTGGAGACAGGCCTCTAGGGCTGGACCTGGAGAGCAGGAGGGTGCTCTAACAAAGCAGCCTGCTCCCCACATCCAGGCTGGACTGTGGGCAGGAGACCCTTCTGCCTTTCTCGGCACCAGCCTGAGCAGAGCCAGTCCAGATAACAGTCCAGGCCAGCTGGGAGAGAGCAAGAAGAGAGCGTGTGTGCTCGATGCGAAGGGCGGGATCACGAGAAGGAAGCAGGATCATGCTCTGTCCGCCGTGCCCACCAACCTCGCTGACAGTCTCCGGAGAATGTGATCATCACTGCAGCCCTGATGCAGGGCTAGTTTTAATGTGCCCATTTAATAGAGAAGAAGACCAAGGTCTAAAGCAAATGAAGCTCTCGGGGTCAGGAGGCAAGGGGAGCAGCCCTGCCCTAGCTCTGGGATCTCAGCGACTCCTAGCAGAGGCCATCCTTCCGGGGTGGGTCTTGCTGTTTCCTGTCCAGAGCAGGAACTGCTGCTGCTCCCAGATCTCTCCCATGCCAGCACCTCCTGCCTGGTTTCAGACCCTCTATCATGCCTAGATTTCAACCCCAATCCCTAAATGCCACATTTATTGAACACCCTGCACCAGGTACTTCACACACATTCCATTTACTCTCACGGGTATCCTCACATCATCACCCTATTCCACTGACGGGAAGACTGAGGATCAGGGAGGTAAACATCGTGCACAAGAGCCAGAGCTCAAAAGGTGCCTAACTGGATGGCAGCCTGGGTCTGGCACAAAGCTAGTGCCCTCAACCCTGCACCACATTCTCACAGAGGATCCATTTGGAACTTCAGTCTCGGAGCCCTGGGCACAGACCGGGGGCATTCATGCCTGACCCTATTCTGACTGCCAGCAAGCCCCGGTCCTCAGACCTGTGGTCCCACATGACCGAGGACTTCTCAACCTCCCATCCAGCACCCCCTCTGCCTCACCACCCTGCCACCCAGTTGCCAGTGTCCCCAGGGCTGTTCCGCAGGCTCTGGAGGGTGGGAGGGCCCTGAGAGCTGAGGACTGCAGAGAGAACACACATGTCCCACATGAGGTGCAGAAGGCCCCCTCTGAGCATCTCCCCAGACCTAAGCCTGCCTGTTTGAAAGAGTTCATGACCCAGATTCCAGTCTGTTTATTAAAACACAGAGGGACATGGTTTACTAAAGAATCATCCCAGAGTCCTATCAGCTTGGATATTCCCAAAATCTGGACATCCCATGCCTTCACCCTGCCTACATCATGCCTTTTTTATAAGGAAAAATGTCCCTCACGTTTCCAGAAGAGTCCTGGCGGCTGGGGGATCATCCTTCCCACGCTGCCCCACCTTAACAGTGGAGCCTCAGAGGCAAACCCTCATAGTGAAGCTGAGCTCCAGAGCCAGAGGACTCTGGGCCCACCTCAAGGCATCACAGCTACCGGGGAGGAGAAATGTGTGTGCGTACAGACACACAGACACAGCCTATCTCATACACAAGTGCACACCAACACAGGCTAAAACACAATCGCATATACACGACACAAGACAGGCGCTGCCGTCCCATCAAAAGTAGGAAAAGTTAGCCAAAATCAAAACCCAAAAAACACAAATCCGGTTGCTCAGCCACCTAGCCACTTTCAATCTTGGGCTGGAGATGCTGTTTGTAATGCACACTCCCCCCAAATAAAAATGATAGAAAATCAACTAGACAGACTCAGCTCAGACACTACCCTGCCAGTGGCTAGGAGGGCACAGAGCTGGCCTCGGCTCTGTGGAGGGCTCTAGGGAGGGGCGGCAGGTACAGGCTACCTGGGGTCCAGTTCCTGCCTCTGTCCTCCCCCCAGGTCACAATGAACCTGTGAGGGGCAGGAGGAGGGAAGGCAGGCCCTGCAGGGAGAGAAGCCCTTCTTGGTGAGCCCCCACCCCTGAGCCCTAAAGACACCCCCCCCAGGGGCCAAGCACCCACCTGACGGTAGCGGCGCTCCGAACACACCTTGCAGAGCCCATTGAAGCGGTTCATGACTGCGGGTCCTGCCTCGGCTGCCGCCCCATGAAAACCCGGCTCTCCCCACGGCAGTGGGAGCCCGCACTGCGCCCCGTCAGCCTGGCATGACCGCCCTGGGAAGCCCGCCCCGCAGAAGAATGGCAGGAAATCACCTCTCACCTCCCCAAGCCCTGTCTGTGCTGTGTGCCTCTGCACGATAAGCCCGAAGGCTTCCTGAAACCTCCGAATGACAAGGAAGAGGGAGAGTTTTATATTAAAATTCCTGTCAACTAGTTAGTATTCCCCCGGCCCTGGCGGGGATAGGGCGCCTTTGTTCTGGCTGCATTCTCCGCCATGGGCCACTTTGTGATTCCAGTGTTCTCACAAACACCCCTGGCTGGAGGAGAACCCAAGCAGAAAACAGCCCACTCTAACAACGCCACCTCCCCCTGCAAATCCCAAGGTCCTCAGTAGCAAACACAGGTAACTAACTCAGCCTAAGGACTTAAGGATGCTTGGGACAGGGTGGGGTGGGGTGGGGGTTGCACCCACAGACTTTCCATGTCAAGACAGGAAATACAAAACATTTGGAGTCTGCCTGCCACCCAGAAGGCACTTAAAAGTCAGTTTTCCCATCCATGGACACGGGCTGCTTTAAGGATCTGATGTGAAAGTGTTAGTAGCTCCGTCGTGTCCGACTCTTCAGCGACCCCATAGACTATAGCCCGCCAGGTTCCTCTGTCCATAGGATTTCCCAGGCAAGAACACTGGACTGGGTTGCCATTTGATGACAGACCATAAAGTCAAGTCAGGAAGGGATTTCCAGTCACTAGATAATCCAGCCCCTTCCCTTTACTGGTGAAGAAGTGGGGGCCTGGAGCCACTGAGATGACAAGCAGGGCGGGATGGAGCTGGGATCAGAGCCCCAGTCTCGATCTCTGACTTGTAGAGCAGAGCCTGGGGAGCAGAGCCCCTTCCACCCACCTGAGGAACACCACCCCGCCACTCACTCCTTGATGCCAGAGAGGGTCCCTCAGTCCAGCCCAGCTTTGGTTGCTGTGACAGTGGACAGGTCACCCTGGTTTCCCAGCCTCCATCACCCCATGCACACCTCTCAGGGTTCTCCCTGTGCCCTCACCAAGCCTCTGACAATCACCCCCACCTTGCTGGGTCCTACAGACATTTCCGAGGGTACAAGCCCAGGAAAATCAAACACACCTCGCAATAACGCGTCTGTGTGCAAAGTCCAGCCCGAAGCAGGACTCTCCCAGGCCACCCAGAAACCTGCTCATGCAATTCCCATGAATCCCCAGGCAGGTTCCCAGGTCCCCATCCTCTCTGTGCTCAGCATGAACAGAGAAGGGCCTTTCAGCTCCCCCACTGAAGCTAGAGGAAAGCTTTGAAACTCGGCACGGAGCCACAGAAAACAGAGACCTGGCAAGTTACTCTAATACTGTGCTATCCTATATGGCAGCGATTAGACACAAGTGCAGTTGAAATTAAAATTAATTCAAATTAAATAAAATTTAAAATTCAGGTCTTTGTTCATACTAGCCACATTTCAAATACTCAGTAGCCATAGGTAGCTAGTGGCTGCCGTACTGAACACCACAGCTCTAGACTGTACACTCCATGAGGACAGGGACCTCTGAACTGTGGACAGCTATAGGTCAGCACCTGGCACAAGGCCTGGCCCATGTAGATGTTCAATAAATATCTAATGAATGAGGCACTTTCCTGGTGGTCCAGTGGCTAAGACTCTGCGGCCCCAAAGTAGGGGGAGCCAGGTTCAATCCCCTGTCAGGGAACTAGATTCCACACGCGGCAACTCAAGAGCCCACATGCTACAACTAAGACCCAGCACAGCCAAATAAATAAATATTAAAAAAAAAAATGAATGAATGAATGAGTGAATGATTTGAGTAAATGAAAGGGGAAATGTCTTAGAGATAATAATACACCTAAATGTCATATGTGCTCACAGAAAACACTCACTGCCCTGTTTTCCCAACTAGGCCACTTGCAGGACGCAGCCATACCTGAAGCTGTAATTCAGTACCTCTGCTACTTGCTGGCGTGTGGCTTATGGAGAGTGACCTAACATCTCTGAACCTTACACATCCCACTCATCTAGGGGACTGGTAGTTAACAACCACCTCAGAGGCAGCAGAGGGTCACGTTAGGGAACAACAGCGGGCCTGCTCACGCGCTGGGAGCTTGTTTCTCCCTGTCTGAGTTGTTAGGGAAAACCAGAGATCACCTCCCATGGCTGGCAGAGATGGATTTGGATAAATATCCCAGAATCCCCATGGGAAGGCTCCTCTCCAGATTCGAAGTCCTAAAGAAGTGAGAACCCATCTCACGGTCCCGTGACAGCCGCTCCATGGCACCGTGGTGGGGGTGGGGAGGCCGAACCTGAAGGGGAGCTGGGTCATAACACCGGGGGGGGGGAGCAAGGGTCTGAGGGGACCTCGGGAAGGAGGACTCGACTTCAAGAGACAGGAAGTCAGTACGACCCAGATGCCTCCATCTCCAGGGACCGGGACCTGGCTCTCTCTCTATTGCTGCATCAAGCGTGAGTAACCCAAGGAAAGCACAGAAATAACCTCTTAAAAATGCACAACTTGCTGGGTCTCCAAGCACCAAGTGACTCGGAGTTTCACGCACCAAACGCTGCCTTGTTCAGGGGTCTCCTGGGCCAAGGGACTGACCAGAAGCAGGTTAGAACCCAGAGCAGTGCTCAGGGCCCATCAGTCCTGCCCGGGCTTAGGTCCACCTACCTTGAGTTTCTCCCCGTTCTCAGCATCCTCACCTCCTGGCATGCTCAACAACGGTTCTGGAAGGTGACACAGCAGAGTCAGAAAGTCTCTATTGGCATCTAAGTGCCTGTCCCACAGACCACCCAGAGGCCCAGGCCAGGGTGCCAGGCCCACGTGGTGGCCCAGTCACTGCTGGCCTCCAGGGTGTGGTAGTGCCCCAGCTCAGGCCAGGCAGAGGTCAGGAGCCAGGTCTGCATGCAGGAAGGGCAGAGCACAAGGCGAAAATCCTCAGGCCCCACAGCAGGGCCCACATGGCCTGTCTGCAGAGGTGGGCACCCCAAGGTCAGCCAGGCAGCCTGTAGGGGTTCCTGAGATCACTGACCCTGAGGAGGAGGCCATGCGGGAAGGTCCAGAAGCCCAGCCCTCCATGATCTAGAGGCCAGGGGAGCTGAGCCACTTGGGGTCAGGCCACAACTCTCTCCAAGGAAAGCCTGACCAGATAAGTAAAGGTGTCATGGACACGAGGCTACGTTCCAGCAGGTGCCTGTGAGAAGTTCCTGGACCCAGGGTCTGAAGGCGGCCTGGGGTGAGGTGACTCATGCCAGAAAACACAGTGACGGATGCTACTATGCAGGAAGGGAGGAGGGGAGCCCAGGAACAGCAGAGTATCTGGGCAGAACTAAAGGTGGTGTGCACGCACCTCTCAGGGGCCGCAGTCTCCGCCTGGCCACCTTCAGGTGTTTGGTCCGGCCCAGGTCCTCCCCCAGCAGGTAGTACCAGCCATTGATCTCCTGTCATGAGAGAAGGCGTGATATTCTCAGAGGAGGCAGAGGGCACGGGGCAGGCAGCCCCCAATCCGCTGAGTGCCTCCCTCAGGAGCAGAATCTCTGCAGGGACAGACACGCAAGCCTCCCTTCCACAAATGTGGAAGATGTGGGAGATGCCATATCTTCCCCTTCCAACAAGCCCTCCCTGATGCTCCAGGCAGAGCTGGTCCTCCCCTTTGCTGAATTCCCACCGTCTCTTGTCCCTGAAGAACAAGTCAACTCATAGGCCCGCCTCCCCAGCTAGGCTATACAAGGCTCTGTGATGTGCCTAGCATTGTTCCTAGCACACATAAAGTGAAAGTGTTAGTCGCTCATTCATGTCTAACTCTATGCGATCCCATGGACTGTAGCCTGCCAGGCTCTTCTGTTCATGGAACTCTCCAGGCAAGAGTACTGGAGTAGGTTGCCATTTCCTTCTCCAGGGGATCTTCTCAATCCAGGGATCAAAGCCAGGTCTCCCACGTTGCGTGCAAATTCTTTACCATCTGAGCCACCGGAAAGGCTTGTTCCCCGGAGGGGGCAAATTAAGGTTTGCCAGACCGGACCGGGGGGGACCGGGCACCTTGGGGTTCTTGGGCGGGTTCCGGTTGGGGTTGGGGGGCCTTTTCCCCCCAGGAGGGAAGCCAAGGCTGCAGTTAAGATATTTGGGACCCACATGCAGAATAGAGCCCTCAGCCACCTACCCCAGACTTCACTTCCAAGACACAGAGCTGGGTGGCAGGATGGAGCAGGCCACCAGGACGTCTCCAGGGATGTGCGAGAGGAGCACTCCCTTCCCTGCTCAAAAGCCTCCAGTGCAGGGAGTGCAGTCCAAGTAGAGATGGGTAAGGGTCTGGCCACCCAGAGACAGGGGCCTCCAGATCCCAGAGTCCTCACCTGCCTGAAGGAAAGCTCCACCAGGCACTCACTCCATCCCTGAGCACCTGCAAGGCCCAGAAACACAAGACCTGGCCCACAACATCAAGGGGACTCCAGAACAGACCATGAGAAGCAACCAGTCTTCATCCTCCAGGGTAGGGAGTACTCTGAGCTCTGAAGGACCTGCCAGTGTCCTTAGAGAAGGCACCAGACCCAGAGCCTCCTGGGAAGACTTGGAGCCGCCTAACTGGTCTCTGATGTGAAAGAGCTAAGATGGGGGAGCCACGGTCACGCAGGTGACAGTGTGGTCTCAGTGGGGCACCATCTCACAGACAGAAGCCCCGCCCCAGGGCTTCCAGACAAAGGCCCCTGCCTGCACCAGCCCCAGCCTAGATGGCCTGATTCTGCCAGAAGCTCCCCTAGAACCCACCTTGTCCGGAGTCAGGAGGGACTTCACCCCGAAGCTCATGCAGCCGATAAGTCCACTCTGTCTGGGAGAACAAGATATGCTCACATCAGCACCTTCTCATTGCGCTATATGAGGAGGTCAACTGTAGAGTGTAACATCGGTTTGCCTGGTGCACTGCAGTTTACAAAGCACTTTTACCTGCATCATCTCATTTGATCTTTCCAACTCTGTGAGTTAGGCTGGAGTGGAGCTATTCTCTCCATTTCACAAAGGAAAAAAAATGAGGCTGAGTTGATCCCCTTCCTAACGTCACAGGACTTACAGTAGTTGAGCCCCATGGGAAACCCATCAGAGAAGCTCGGAGCTACTTTGGAGGTCTGAGCTGCTCTGGTGCTGTAGGTCTGAAGAGCTGGTCCCCACAGGGAATTTCAGCTCCCACATCAGCTGGTGATGCTGAATTCAGGAGAAAAGTGATGGGACTTAAAGCTCAAGAAGCTTTGTCTTGGGTCCAGGCAGGAGCTGGTTAGTGCTTGGACGGCTTCAAATTAAGGTTCAAATCGACCTGACACACCAAAGTTCCCAATACCAATCCGACTTGACTGCCAGCTGGGCAAATAGACATGAGCCAGGGTCAGGACTCATGGGAATGTCATGCAGTGTCGACAGGCTTGAGTTAGGTTGGATCCTACTTGACGAAGAGTGATTCAAAGTTCCTGAAAAATGTTCATCGCTGAGTTCCGATGTCCAACAATCAGGGACTGATTGATACTTGGCAGCTTTCAATAACGATAGTATGTGCTGTGTGCTTGGTTGCTCAGTCATGTCCGACTCTTTCTGACCCCGTGGACTGCGGCATGCCAGGCTCCGCTGTCCTTAGGGATTCTCCAGGCAAAAATACTGGAATGGGTTGCCCTGCCCTCCTCCAGGGGATCTTCCCAACCCAGGTCTCCCACATTGCGGGCAGATTCATTACCGACTGAACCGCCAAAGAAGCCCAAGAATGACAGTTATAGATGAACATTACTGAAATGCAAAATATAATCCTGCTATTATGAGCAAAAATCAAGTTTACAAATCTATAGATTAATGAGAAAGATACCCACCAAAATATTAACAATAGCTGTATCTGGTAGGTGGGATAAGAAAGGGTTTTGTTTTCTCCCTTGAGTTTTTTAACATTTTTAAATTTTCACAGGGAACAAGCGCTTCTTTCAGAATCAGGAAAAAAAAAAAACAGTATAAATGTATTTGAAAGTATTCTATCCTACCACATCTTTCTCTAGCCTAACACTAGAGTCACTTTTTTCCCCGCCTCTCTTTTCTTCTCTCTTAGCACATCCCCAAGTCAGTCTCCTTCAGAGACTGGTTTAATATTAACAGCTATTAATCGAGAAACAACACAGGTATTAACTCTGGAGCAGAAGGGACTTCTCTGATGGTCCAGTGGTTAAGGATCTGCCTTGCAGTGCAAGAGAGGCGGATTCGATCCCTGGTCAGGGAACTAAAATCCCACTACCACAGAGCAACTAAGCCAGCATGTTGCAACTAGAGAGCCCACCTGCTGCAACTACTAAAGCCTGCGCACTCTGGAGGGCATGCGGTGTAGACCAGAGCATCTGTGCTTTGCAACAAAAGATCCCACATGATGCAATGAAGACCCCACAGGCTGCCATTACAACTAGACACAGCCAAATAAGTAGATAAATATTAAAAAATAAAAAGATTGGAGCGGAACCTTGACGGTTGACTTCAATATCTGAGGGACCCACATGGACGAAGGAGTCAGCATGTTCTGGGGAAGGTACAATTTCAAAGCCGAGGATGGAACAAACTGCCTGGACCGAACTAACTCCCTGGAGATGAGCCTCCCCGGAGACTGGGCAATGGTGGGGCCTGAGCCAGTCCACTGAACCCCCTGAAGAGCCTGTCTGAATCTTGTGCCCCAGAGCCTGCTCCCGGGCTCCAGGCCCGGTAGGTCCAAGGTGGGGGCTGGACACAGACGTCTGGAGAAAGCTGTCCAAGGGAGCCTACGGGGCACACACCCAGGCCTGCCCTGGCGAGCACCAGAGGTCTACACTGTCTTTACAAATACATTTTGTTTGGATTCTCCAGAAAGGGTGGCGGCGGCCTACCACCCAAAAGTCTTAAGCAAAGCAAAATGGGCTCTCGCAGATAGCCCAGCCGAGCGAGGGGCAGGATGATGGCCGCTGATCCTCAGGCCCGGCGCCCCTCCCTGCAGAGGCTCACTCTGCACCGGGCCCTGTCTCACCAGCTGCCCTCATTCTGCTACTCCTCACCCTCCACGCTCTCTTCCTGCCCCCCTTTCCTGCAGCCTGGGCTGCGCGCGGGCTCCCTCCCCCTTGCCAGCCCCCTCCCATCTCACCAGGCCAGATTAATCATCTCCCCCTGGAGGACAGTGCAGTCACTCCATTCAAGCCACCCATCCCCATCCACCCCCCCCACCCACCACCAAAAACAAACCCTCCTCCCTCCTGGCACGTGGCCAAGACAGCACGAATGGAGGGGCAGCCGCAGTGACCAACACGAGTGGCGGCCACTGACCTGAGCTGCCGCTCCAGAAAGGCCTTGTCAAGACTTTGCCAAAGTCCTCATCACGGATTTCATTTTGTTTGTCAACACATTCAAGAGCAACCCAGCTGGTATCCAGGTGCCCACACTGCCTTGCTGTACATTTTCCTTTCACCCTGGGTATGGCTGTAACTGCCTAAATCTCCCAGGCACAATGCTTTAGCTGTAATAAAGGCTGCCTCTTCCTGCTCTTCAATAAGTGGAGTTTTCATCCCCTGGTGCTCAGAGAATGCTAAATGGTTGATAGCCTCCCATGAGCTTTGTTTCCTGCGAAGGGGCCTCCAATGATTTCATGATAATTCAGGCCCAGCAAATTGTCACAATCAATGTCCATAACAGGAACCTCTAAGTGTTCTTCGATTAGCTACTCCTGAAGCCTGTTTTCAAAAACCTTTAGCAGAAGAAAGACCTTTTATGCACAACCTGAACACATGGCAATCTACTGGTCAAGTAATAAACTTGGGAACTGGTGACCGCCTGAAATTTCACTAGGCGCAGAGTCTCAGGGGCCAAGACTTGGGCACTTCTGAAGGCTGAACCCTGAACTTGGTGAAGGTTTGACAAATGGATGAATCCATCATTTCTATGTTGGCAGGCACTGGGCAAGGAGCCCCAGCATTAAGGAAACAAGACAAACACTCAGGAATTTAAACAGCAGTTCAAGGCAGCAATACAAGGGATGTCACTAGAGGGGGTGAGATTGACAGATGAGCAGTGCCGACAATAAATGCTGAATGCTTAGAGAGGCAAGAAGTGGTTTAGAACTGAGATATTCAAAGAAGGTCTAAGGAGTTCAGCCAGAGAGAATGAAAGGAAGAGCATTTCAGGCAAAGGAAACAGCTGGTACAAAGGCTCAGAGGTAAGGCTTCATGGAGCATTCATGGGCAATAGTACAGCCAGGCCTCCATATGCAAGGATGAGGAACCCATGGATATGGAGGACCAACCGTGCTACCCCACTTTATAGAAGGGACTTGAGCATCCATGGATTTTGGTATCCACAGGGGTCCTGGAACTAATACCCAGTGGATACAGAGAGATGGCTATACTCAGCTCAGTTTATTTTTGAGCACACAATAGGAAACCCGCTACAAAAAGAAAATGCATTATTTTAAGGGGATGCACTTTACTTTTCTCTCTCAGGGGCCTTAAACTATTTGTGTTACAGACTTATTCCATTTAATCTCAATTTATTTTTAATTTGATGACTTAAATTGCACACACATTTTTCCATTCATCTTCTCTTTCCTTGGTCTCAGTCCCCATCTCTGGTCACAAGCTTTCTAACTTTACAGTGCTGTATTTGGCACTGGGGTGGTTTATAAAGTAGCTCAAAGAGCAAAGGGGACAAAGATAGTGTGCAATACACAGCAAACAGCCTCTCCATATATGTAGTTACTATTAGCATAAAAGATTATGTTCTTCAAACATATGTTGTGTGTGTTTTAGGTTGTTTTTTTTTTTTAACTTGGTACATAACAGTACAATTCTGTTTTCTCTTACTACAAGTTCTGAAAATATCATGATTAACACTAGAAGCTTCAATTTGGCTTTTTCCACATCCTCGAACAAAACTTTTAAGTAGTTCAGTTCCATAGTCAGTGATATTAAGGAGTTACTATTAATTTTTAAATATGATAATGGCATTGTGGTTGGTTTTTTTTAAGTCATCTTTTAGAGAGATCTATAGCTCAGATGAGATGATTTGCTTTAAAATAATCCACTGGAGGAAGGGAAAGTGGGTGAGGGCATAAATGAAGTAAAACTGGTCACGTATCGATCATTGAGGAAGCTGGGCTACAAGTATATGAGGGTTTACTATACAATATTTTCTAATTTTGCATATGTTTGAAAATGTCTATAACGTCTTAAAAACTCACAGAAACCCAAGTCGAAAGAAACCTTTGAGATCTCTGCATTTTACAGGTGAGGAAACTGGGGCCCAGAGCCGGGAAGTGACCTGTCCACCGTCTCACAGAGAGGAGCAGTTATGCCAGAATCTACTGCCCTGAGGCCTGGTTCTCCTCAGCTCCCACCGTGCTCACCACAGGAGCTGAAATCAGCCTGCCCCTCCCAGCACTGAACCATCTTGTTTCTCTTCTACGTGTTCACAGCAGTCCCTGGAAGGATCGCGAGAATTCATGAAACAGATGCTCCCCCTTTCATCTCCTATCAGTCTCAAAATGTAACCGCCACATAGTCAGTTGGATGACTTACATAAAACTATTAAAAATGCTGTGAGAGGTGGCCTGAGGCATAAGCACACTGATACAGAAAAAGTTTGGCTTTGGAGCTTTTTTCCACCTGTGTGAGCCAGTCAAGGGTATCTATAGCATGTGGTTTGATGCCAGGCTACCTGCACTTGTGTCTTGTTTTCACCACTTGCTGGCTGTGTTACCTTGGGCAAGTTACTTAACCTCTCTGTGCCTGTAAAAGAGAAACATGAATAATGCCTACCTTATATGGTATTGTGAGGATACTGTGTCCACACAATAGATAATGATTAAATATGCTTAAGGTCCACACATGTGGTGGACATGAAGTGCTTGATAAACATGAGCAATGATGTCACCTTGGGCAAGTTCCTTGGCCTTAGTAAATCTCGGTTTCCTCATCCCTGAAGAGACAGACAATAGTAATTCCTACCTCTGAGGGTCGTTGCGAGGATTAAATGAGATAATGTATGTACAGTGCTTGGCACAGAGAAGGGTTCATAAATGTTTGCTTCCTTCCTTCTGTAATTGTCCTTCACGTAGCTAAGTTGAATGTCCGTCCTTCAAAGACGCACAGTTTGATTTCAGAGTGTTCGGCAGGGCAGGGGTTTCTGGCAATGGCTCTGCCTGTCCCCTGCAGCTCAGAGGCTTCTTCTCACTCAGAGCTGGATCGATAACCATGCCTCCCGCCCCGAGCCGGCCACTGTGGTGCTGGCACCTCGGGCAGGGCCATCTGTTCGGAAAGCAGGCCTGTCTGCGCCTGCTCTGTCCCTCTTGGAGCTTGGGGTTGGGACTGTGACCACAAGCTTGACTGTGTTTTGTTGAATAAGGAATCTCACTTTCCCAAAATAGGCAACAAGTGGAGACACTGCCTCTCTCACGCTGCCTCCCTGGGTGCTGACTCACTTTCCCCGGCCTCACTCTCTTTTCCAAAAACCGACAAGTGCATTGCTGCCGCTTCCCCAGCCGGCTCCGCCCGGCTCACTCCGCTCTTTGCAGGGCAGCAGCCGTAGCAGAGGACATGGCGACTCCCACAGTGTGGTGTCTACCTCCGGCTCCCGCTCCACTCCTCGCCCCTGTCCAGGGGGCTCACCAGGCATCCTTCTGTCTGCCTGCCACTCCTCCTCTGTGCTTCCCAGACGGCACTGCTGCTGCTGCTGCTGCCAAGTCGCTTCAGTTGTGTCCGACTCTGTGCGACCCCAGATGACAGCCCACCAGGCTCCTCTGTCCCTGGGATTCTCCAGGCAAGAACACTGGAGCGGGTTGCCATTTCTTTCTCCAATGCATGCACGCATGCTCAGTCACTTCAGCCGTGTCCGACTCTGTGCAACCCTATGGACAGCAGCCCACCAGGCTCTAGTGGTAAAGAACTCGCCTGCCGATGCAAGAGACATAAGAGACGCGAGGTCCTCTTTGGCTCAGAAAGATCCCCTGGAGAAGGGCATGGCAACCCACTTCAGTACTCTTGCCTGGAGAATGCCAAGGACAGAGGAGCCTGGTGGGCTATGGTCCATGGGGTCACAAAGAGTCAGTCTCGACAAGCGACTCGGCACCCACGCCGCCTCTGTCTCCTTCAGGGCTTTCCCTTCCTGTGTCCGTCCTTTCAAGACAGGGTTCTGACCCTTGGTCACAGACCTCTCTCTCCCCTGCGCTCCAGGTCAGCAAAGGCATCTCTCCTACACAGTTCTCAGCGGGTTGCCCTCCAGGGACCTCCATTCCGCCCTATCCAAAGCTGCTCTCCCTTCCCCTCTAGTGCACTTTGACCGCTAGAGACATCACTGGCCATCCAGGAGTCATCCTTGGCTTCTCCCACTGTGCTCACAGCCAAATCACCGGTAAGTACTATTGGTTTAGGCTCCTAAATGCACATGAGTCTGTTTCCCGCCTCTCTATCCCAAATCATCTCTCTCACAGATCACCACAAGAATCTCCCAGCTCTTCCCCAACCTTCCAAAGACTTATCAGAGTGATAGAGCTAAATACACCCCTGTAATTCCTCTGCTCAGCACCCTTCAGCATCGCCTCGTCACCAGATTCCCAAACACCAAACTGGCTGCATGAGGTTCACCCTGAGAACCTGTGTAAATGCAGATTCCTAGGCCCTGCCCTTGAAAATCTGGATTTAATCAATCTTATGTGTTACCTGGGAACCGAGGTTCCCCACAAGCATCCCTGATGATTCTGATGCATTGCCAGGATTGAGAACTACTGACCCTTTGGAGAAACTCACACTCCAGAGAAAACCTATAGACTCATCTGTTTAGTTTACGCCATCCTCTTATCCATCTTATCTCCAGCCAATCCCTACTTTGTAATGAACCCTCTAGCAACACCAAAGTGAAAGTGAAAGTGAAGTCTCTCAGTTGTGTCTGACTCTTTTGCGACCCCATGGACTGTAGCCCACCAGGCTCCTCTGTCCATGGGATTCTCCAGGCAAGAATACTGGAGTGGGTTGCCATTTCCTTCTCCAGGGAATCTTTCTGACCCAGGGATCGAACCCAGGTCTCCCACATTGCGGGCAGGTGCTTTAACCTCTGAGCCACCAGGGAAGCCCACCACCAAGTTTGCAAATCCTGCCCCGTGCCTGCCCGGCCCTCTGCACTCTACCCGCGGAGACTGAAGACTCCAGAGTCTCAATACCCGGGTTCCCATCTTGCCTCTACCGTTCACCGCCATGTGACCTTAGCTTCAGTCTCCTTTTCTGGAAACTTAAAGACAAACATGTACTTTCCTTCAGAGTTGTCTTAAGAACTAAATGAGATAAGGCACTGTTAGGCCCTGGCTTGTGGTTAACACCCAGGAAATGGTTGCTCTTGTTATCAACATGTCTCCTCCTCACCCACACCCTCAAGTCTCCGTCAGAGGTCCTCTCCCAAGCAGGATGGTCTCTGACTGACCCCATGTGTCCCCAGCACCTGTAACAGAGCTGTCACATGGGTGGCCACGAAAGGGCAGCTCAATGAATGAGATCTGCAGTACCACGAGCACCAGGCCATGGTAACAAGTAGACACTCGACTGAAAGACAAACCTTTCATTATGCAGGCTGTTGTTCAGGGCTCAGTCGGGTCCAGCTCTTTGTGATCCCATGGACTACAGCACACCAGGCTTCCCTGTCCTTCACTATCTCCCAGAGTTTTCTCAAAGTCATGTCCATTGAGTTCATGACACCATCCAACCATCTCATCCTCTGTCATCCCCTTCTCCTCCTGCCCTCAATCTTTCCCAGCATCAGGGTCTCTTCCAATGAGTTGGCTCTTCCCATCAGGTAGCCAAATTATTGAAGCTTCAGCTTTAGCATCAGTCCTTCCAATGAATACTCAGGGTTGATTTCCTTTAGGACTGACTGGTTTCATCTTGCTGCCCAAGGAACTCTCAAGAATCTTCTTCTCCAACACCACAGTTCAAAAGCATCAATGCAGGTTGAGGAAGGCTCAACTTGAAAAGTTATGCTGGCTATCAAGTTTAGGGTACCAAAAAGCACTGAGGGCCCAAACATTCTCTGGCTCTAACCTGGTGAGTTGAGTCAGTTTTCATTCACCTGGGCCCCTTTTCAGTCACCATTTTCAGTTCTATGACTGTTGGATGGATGTTACTGGCCACAGAGTCTCCCAGGTTTCCTTCAATGCACCAGCTGAACGAGCCCCAGCTGCTCACAGCAGCCACACTGTCAAGTGATCTCACCCTCTTCCCTTCCCTCAGCAGCCAACTCTCACCCTCACCACCCAGCAGTGCTGCCCTGCTCCGTACTGGCCCCCAGACTCATGACCACATCCACCTCCTGTGTCCTGGGCTGCCTGAAAGATCGACCTGTGTGGATCCTCCTGCACAGACTCTGCAGCTCCCGGCCCCCTCAGGGCAGCCGGAGCCCACCGCGCCTGCTCCTGCCTCCCTGCCTCAGCTCGTGCTGTGCCCCTGCCTGCCATGCCCTATCCAACCTACTATTCTCCTTGTCTCATTCTTGCACTCTGCCCCAAGTTGAAGATCCCACTTTTTGCATGAAGCCTTCCTCGGTCGCCTCAGCCCATAATGAACTCTCCTTCTTCCCAGACTTACTATCCTAGTACTCATTGCATTCCTGTATTCATTCACCCAATAATCACCAGATATCTACATGCTAGGCACTGGGTGCAGTGGTGACTAAGAGAGAAATGGGCCCGTGTTTCATGGAGCTTCTACTCCCGTGGGGCTGAGCCTGTGTGTGCTGTGACTATCGTTTGCCTCCACACACAGCCTGTTATCCCCTCCTGAAAGTAGGTGGCTTTGGAGCAGAAGCCACACATAGGCTGGTTGGCATTTCAGTGGCCAAGACAGTGTCCTGTTGATACCAAGGGCTCAGCAAATGCACCTTGCTAACAAGATCCGTGGCATCACCTGGAGTGACAGGAACTCACGGGGGTGGCGGCCTCTCCGATGTAACCACTACCATTCATTCATCTAAGCGCTACTTGGGCCCCCACATTATGCTAGCTGTCTGGCTGCCACACACAAGCCCAGAGCAGGTCTCTCCTCAGCTCAGCGGTTCCCCTCACCTGGAGTCACCTGCCCTGTTCCACACAGCGACCAGGAGGCGCTTCTGTTCGTCTTCCTCTTGGACAGGACTGCAAAGCAAACCACATAGAGTGTTAGCAGAGCCAAGCTCTGGTCCAGACCCAAACAGGCCCTCATTAACGGCGACTCTTGGAAATAACCTGAACACCCAACCATAAGGAGCTGGTTAAACAAAGTAGAGCCCGAATAGAGTGGGATGTGAATATTTATGTTCATGAAAGAGTTTACATTACATTGTTACGGATGAAAAGGAGGTTACAACACGACATGATACAACAATTCCATCTTTGTAAACACACGCCCACACAAATTCAAAGACCTGAAAAGAAATGCCACAGAACATCTCAGTGAGTAGCAGGACTAGAAGTACTTTCTCTCTTCTTTCTGTGTGCCGATCTTTTCTATTTTTCTACCATAAGCAAAATTACCGGGTGTAGTAAGGAAAATAACAAAATATGATTAATCTTCACTAATAAGAAAATATAAAATGTCCGTTGCCTTCCCATTGGCCCCAGAGTTCAGGGAGGAGGGAAAGAAATAATAATTACACCACCCGACACTCTGTGTTACACTGTCTCATTTACACCTCCGCTCTCTCTGAGCTCTGAGCTCGGCACTATTATTAGCCCTATTTTACAAATAAGGAAGCCAAGGCTCAGAGAGGTTAGCAAGTTGGGGAGGGGCGGGTAGGGAAGCAAAACAGCCCTCAGCTTGGAAAATTCCTCCTGCTAAAGGAGAAAGTTTGGCCCGAGGCACAGTGGGAAATTGCCTCCTTTTTTTCAGGGGCTGCCAGCCTCGGGCTGGGCGTTTTCGTTCTGAGAAGCAGTCACGTGATACCTTATCACTGTGGACCTCGCTGCCGGGCCGGGTGCCAGGGATGCGAGGACACAAGTGAATGAGAAAACAAAGACATCCTTTAGAAGTCACTGTTTTTCTGCTTAGATCTGGTTCTAGAGTTGGCAGACAGAGTTGTTTCAGCTAAACACGCCTTGCCTCTCCTCTCGAGGACCCAGCCACACCAGACTCTTACAAGAAGAAGTGCTCATGGAAGACAGGATCTCTGCAGTCCGGAATGGTCTGTGTCTTCTGGCGGCATAGTCGATTATCTTCAGGGATCAAAGAAATCTCGAATGGGAGAAAAGTAAGGGTTAGATGATGTCAGAGCCACCTGATCACCTAAGCCCGATGGCTGACTCTGTGTATCTCCAAGTTACGTCTTCTCCAGCACCCTTCAAACCAGCCTCTTCAGAGGACAGTATGGAGTCCTCCAGATGCCGGGAAAGAAAGAGGAGCCCTGGGCTGGAGGCACTGTAGTCAGATGCTGGGACAGGGCCTCTCAGGGGTGGTTACCAAGGAGGCAGCCCCAGGCCCAGGCAGAGATGGGGTACAATCTGACCACCTCTGCTCTTCCTCCAAGCAGAGAGGTTCCCCCCAAAGAACATAGCCTTTTGTCATCTAAGTCCTCAGCAGCTGCCGAGTGCCCCCTTCCCAGGAGGCTCCAGGTCAGCATCCGCCAAGACCCCCATCCACACTCCGGTCCTCACATCGTTCGTCCCCTGCCTCAGGTCCCCACCCTGCTCCTGACCTTGGCCAGCCCCATAGAGGCCTCTTACCGCCTGGAGGCTGCAGGAAGAAGGCAGAGTGGTGCGCCTGACACCTGACCACCATGCTTTGGGAGGTGCCTGGCCTTTGCCTCCAGCTGGAAGTAGCCTCCACCCGCCCCAGCCCCTGTGGGGTCTCTGTTTTCACTGCAAGGTCTCCACTCAGAAGGACCCTCCAGCCCTCAGAGATCCTCTCTCCACCCCAGCACCCAAACTGCCATCCTGCCTCTGGTTTGGGGGAGGAGAGGGGTGAAGATGTTGCTTTTCACGAGAAGGTTTGGGATCGCCTCTGGATTTCCGCTATCCACGCGCTCAAGGTGCTCACCCACGTGGTGAAGCACAGGCTCACCCGTAAGGTTCCAGTCCTCGCAGGAAGCCGGTCTCTCTTAGCTCAGGGCCCCTCGCTAGGCCTAATAAATGCCTACTGACCAAATGATGGAACTGTAGCTACCACACTGAATGGCCCCAAGCCCCCAGATATGCTGGGACCTTGGAACTCAGTGACGTGGTCCCTCACCAACCCCACCCCACTCATACCCACTCTGACAACCTGCTCATCATATACCTTCACGTAGGAATCACAGACGCCGAGTTCCTTGCTCATCAGGCCTTTGCCTTCTATGACTAAACAGAGAATAAAAATGCGGTGGTTGGGTGGGAAAAATCATTACCAGGCTCTTACTCTGCATAACAACCATTGGATATTAACCCCTCTCTGGTCCAGCCCACTCCCACCATCTCCAACACTCGGGCAGCACCTTCACTGAGACATAGGGTTCAATTGCCTGACTTCCCAGAAGAGAATGTAAAGTTTATTGAGTCCAAGCCCTCATTTAATGGCAAACATGAGGCTATGAGGCGGCAAGAAAACTGCACAGTCACAGAGCAATGGGAATGACAAAGCTGGGTTTAGATCCCCAACTCGAGACTCCCAGTCCAGTGCTATCCCACAAGACTGCCTCTTGGGACGGAGGTGCCAAGCTGGGGAACATAACCTGTCACTTACTAGCCATGTGAGAAAGCTGCTTCACCCAAGAGACTAAATTTGCCCTTTTTTAATGGGTCAGTGATAATAATGGGCTAAGGATAATAATATCCACTTCACACGGTTGTTGCTGTTCAGTCGCTAAGTTGTGTCCAACTCTTTGCGACCCCATGGACTGTATAGCATGCCAGCCTTCCCTGTCCTTCACTATCTCCTGGGGTTTGCTCAAACTCATGTCTATTGAGTCGGTGATACCATCCAACCATCTCATTCTCTGTTGCCCCCTTCTCCTCACATGGTAGTGGCCAGATTAAATGAGATCATGTACTCATGATCTGCTTAGGTGCTTAGCAGATTGCCTGGCAGAGTAACTGCTCAAAAAGATTTGCTAAAGAAAACAAGGAGAGATAAAGGCAAGGGACAGGTGCAGGGTGAGGTTCATGTCTGGCCATGAATGCGAGTGTGGCTCGTTTGTCTGAGGCCAGTAGAAATCAGACAGTAGACCTGACAGAAGCTGAGCCTCTTTTCTCTTTTATGTTTGGTTTTGATTGAGCCCTAGGCCTTGGCTCAGACGGAGCCCCTGTAGTCTGAGGCGTGAGGCCTGGGAAGCCAAAGGAGAGAGGGGGACAGGCTGGAAGTGATGAAGGGCCTGAGACTGGGGTGAGGCCAAAACAAACTGCAGGACGAATGGACCGAGGAAGCCAAGATGCGCTTGGCAGAAACTGTTTGCACAGCTGGAGGCGGGCTCTGGCAGGCAAAACACCCCCCTCTGCTGGTCCTTGGGAACGTCACCTTGGCCCCCCCAAGGCCAGGACCACAGCACCTGGTGGTCCATCCTGCCTGGTATCCTAGTTTCTGTTCCTGCATGTACCCTGCCTGTGGGTGTGGTTGAGGGCAGTATCCAGGCCTGCTGAACCCTTGGGTCTCCCTGGCTCCCCGTGGAGGTGAGGCAGATCTGGTCCCACTCTCACTACACTCCCGTCTGTTGTAGAAGCCGGCTGTGCCCTGGACACACCAGGGTATACAGTGTAACTGGGACTGCCAGGAGGACCAGGGCAGCAGCAACAGCCCTGCAGGCGGGCCAGGGGGTGATTCCTGGAAGGGAAAAATGAGGCAAAATGAGCCTTCCTCCCTGTGTCTTAATGAGATAAAGACAGGCACATTTTCTACAAAATCAGAGGAAGGGAGACTTACTTTTCAAAAGGCGTTCAAAAAGAAGGCAGGCTCAGAAACAAGGAACTGTGGGTGCGAAGGCAGAGGCACGAGCAAGCACGATGTAATCGGGGGTGAAGGGGGCACAAAACTGGATGGAACGGGGGTGGAGGGGAGCCTGGAACCGCAAGAGCCAGGAAGGTGGGAGAAACAGGCAGGATCTGCTGGGCCATGATAGGAGCTCAGTAACTACTTCTACGCTGGATGGAAGGAACAAATGGATAAACGGTGGGTGAAGTACAGAATCCTCTGGGCGGCCCATCAGACCATCACAACCTGGTCCCAACCTCTGTGCCACAGGCATGTTAGACAGTCTTCAAGTGCACTGTGCCCTCTCTGACCCCCGGCCTTGGCACCTGCGGCTCCCCCTTTGGGGAGTGCCTGGCCCGCCTGTTCCCCTCTGCCTGGCTCAGGCCCCTTCCTCCTTCAGGATGGAGTGTGGACATCACTCCCTCTGCCAAGTTCTCCTGGCCGCCCTATCAGCACCACCCAGAGGTGGGCACTTCTCCTTGGCATCCCTAGCCCCTAGCATAGGGACGTGTTCAATCACTATTTGGGGAATTTATGGTTTTCTATATCACTTAACACTCATATAGGGTTAACCACATGCTGGGTACTGTCCTAAGTGCTTTACTAAAATTGACTCCTTTAATCCTTGTCACAACCCATAAGATAGGTACTATTATCATAAGATAGGTACTATTATCATAAGATAGGTACTGATATCACCATCCAGCAGATGAGAAGCTGAGCTTGCTTAAGGTCACTCAGCAAGAAAAGAATCACAGCCAAGATTCGGACACAAGCAGTCTGGTTCCAAAAGCAGTTTGATCCCTGGGTTGGGAAGATCCCCTGGAGCAGGACATGGCAACCCACTCCAGTATTCTTGCTGGAGAATCCCCGTGGACAGAGGAGCCTGGCAGACTACAGTCCGTGGGGTCGCAAAGAGTCAGACAGGACTGAGCAATTAAGCACAGTCTGGTTCCAAAAGCTGCCCCGGTGGCTCAGCTGGTAAAGAATCTGCCTGCGATACAGGAGAGCCCTGTTCGGCTCTTCAGTCGTGAAGGGCCCCTGGAGAAGGGATGGGCTCCCCACTCCAGCATTCTTGGGCTTCCCTGGTGGCTCAGATGGCAAAGAATCCACCCATAACATGAGAGACCTGGGTTTGATCCCCAAGTTGGGAAGATCCCCTGGAGCAGGGCATGGCAATCCACTCCAGTATTCTTGCCTGGAGAATCCCCATGGACGGAGGAACCTGGCAGGCTTTAGTCCATAGGGTCACAAAGAGTTGGACACAACTAAACACAGTCCAGTTCCAAAGACGGAACACTACCCTAGCTGTGACACTACACTGCCATCAGTGAATGAACGAATAGATAAAGCTAGAGAGAGAGAGGAAAGGAAGGAAGCAAGAAGAAGGGGAGGCGAGGGAAGCTCTTCTGTGGCCCCACTGCAATGGAGCCAGGGAGGATGCTGAGTTGCCAAAGACTGCTCCAGCCTGCCATGAACTCCACACTGGGGCGGGACCAGGGGGGATGATCTCTAGAAGTCCCAAGTGATATCCATTTTTTTTTCAATGGACACATGGCAGGACACTATACAAAGAGGGGAAAGAAGCCTTAGCCACCATAACACTTCCACTCATCCCTGGCTCCACGCAGAAGGTCAAGTGGCCCACTCCTTCCCCAGCGAGCCCCAATGAACACAGCCATACTCACTGTGGAGAAGCAGAACCCGGTCCTGGGCATCAATGGACAGCTTCAGCTGACCTGAGGAAACAACAAGAGAGACAGCTTCATCTCATTTCCTTGCCAAGTGAAACATGGAATGACATTGACAGGTATGCGCTTTTGTTCGTGTGAAGTGATTCAAAGTTTCATATAGTCTTGGGGTTGAAAGGGAGCTCAGAAACCACCTAGTTAAGCCTCCTCATGGCATCAATATCTCCAGTGTTGGTTTTCCATCCTAATCTTACACTCCCCTGGTGATGGGGAGCTCACTACCTTACCAGGTAGCCAAGCTCTCACTGTTAGAATCAGAAAAGGTTTTGCATCCACATGACAGTAAGGCTAGATTTGAGAGTCAAGGACCCTGGGTGGGCCTCCGTCGGGAGTCCACACTAAAGGACTGGCCAGAGCTCTCCAGCTGTGCAGACAGCTAGGCTGTATTCTGGGAAGGCAGTAACTATACAAGGACATGGGAGGAATGAATCGGGGGGAAAGCCAAAGGAAAGAGATCAGCTGTGGGCAGAGAGATCTTTCAAAGTCAATGCTACTGCCCCGAATCCTTCCACAGAATCCTGACCTCCTTAAAGAAAAGTTGAGGAGACTTTCTCTGACCTTGGCATAGAGATTTGCTGCTCACCGTGAGGTCCAAGAACCAGCAGCATGAGAAGCAGGGAAGCAGGAGAAGTGTCTCATGAAGCATGGGAGTTAAAAATGCAACATCTCAGGACTTCCCTGGTGGTCCAGTGGTTAGGGCTGTGCTCCCAGTGCAGGGCACCTGGGTTCGATCCTTGGCTGGGGAAGTAGAGCCCACGTGCTACAAATCAGCTAAAGATTCCGCATGCCACAGTGGGATCCTGTGTGCTGCAACTAAGACCCAGCAAAACCAAATTTTAAAAAATTCAGCATCTCAAGCCCTGGCCCGGGCCTACTGAATTCGAGTCTACAGTTTAACAAGATCCCCAGGGAGTTGCATGCACATTAAAGGTTGAGGAGCCCTGGACCAGAACTCACTGAAGAGTCTCTTAACATGTTTCTTAGTTAGGAGAAGGTCTTCTTAAGCAAGATACAAAAATGCAGAGGTCACAGGGGAAAGAGATACATTTGACTCCATCAGACTTTTTAAATGTCTGTTACAATTAAACGTACCATAAACAGATTTATGAGACAAGGCAACTGAAAAACAAGCAAAGGACAACAAATGGGAAATTCAGAGATGACAAAATGGCCAATAAACATACAAAAAGAAGCTCAAGCTCATGGAGATCTGAGACATGCAAATTCACAATAAAATATCATCTCCCCTCAATCTGACTGGCAAGAAATCTAAGAGATGATAATGTCAAATGTAGGTAAACACAAAGGAAAACAGATACCCTCATGCCCTCTTGGAGGAAGTATAAATGGAGAGTAATTTCTGACAATATCTATTAAATATAAATGTCCTTATTTTTCAACCTAGCAATTATACTTCCAGGTAACTATCATAGACAAAAACTCAAGTGGCTCTATAACATTGTAAAAAATTGAAAATACTAAAAAAAACCCATCAATGAAAATCATTCAGTGAACCAATTATATTTGTGCTGTGGGATAGTATGGGCTGATATAAAGAATGGGAGAGTGCTATGCATCCTGGAATAGGAACATTATTGAGACAAAATTACTTTTTTTTTTTTTGGCCATGCCANACAAAATTACTTTTTTTTTTTTTTGGCCATGCCAAGAGGCATATGGGATTTTAATTCTCCAACTAGGGGTCGAACCCATGCCTTCTGCACTGGAAGCATGGAGTCTTAACCACTTGACTGCCAGGAAGTCCTAAGACAAGTTTTTAAATGGAACAATACTCATGATATATATCTCTCTGTGTTTGGTGTGGTGTCTGTGTGTGTGTGTGTGTGTGTGTGTGTTCTGAAAGGATGTCAAATTAAAAACAGTGATCACCTCTAGGGAACAGACTGGGAATTGGAGGGAGGGAAGTCAAGAGGAATTTCAATCTCCCATTACTGGAGTTGTTGTAACAATACAAATATATCCATGACCTATAGCACTTCTATAATTAAAAATAAATTAAAGAGGAAACACACGGAGAACAGACCTGTGGTTGCCAAGGAGGAGAGCGGGTAGGGGAGGGAAGGAATGGAAGTCTAGGGTTAGCAGAGGCAAACTGTTATACACAGGATGGATAAACAACAAGGTTTATTGTAGAGCATGGGGAACTATATTCAACATCCTGTGACAAACCTCAGTAAAAGGAATACATATATATACAAAGCTGAGTCACCCTGCTATACAGAAGAAATCAACACAACACTGTAAATCAACTATACTTCAATAAAATTTTTTTAAAACTAAAGAGAAAAATAAGCAGAAAAGAAGAGAAAGAGAGGAAAGGGGGAAGCAACAAAGGGAGGGAGAGGGGAAACGTGAAGACGATCGAAGGACAAGGACTGGAATACAGATGAAGAATTGAGGGGCTGCATGAGGGTTCTCCTGTGCCTTTCACCATTTTTATTTTTAAAAACACAATATAAAAACAAAATAGAATATCAGGTCATCCTCATAGACATCCCGCAGCTCTCCAGAGAGAGAGAGAGGACCACGCCCTTCGTCCTCAATGATATGTGGAAAAATCGTCTCTCAAGTCAAGTAGATTCCTCCTAGAGCCTCAAGAAGCCAGTGAACTCCATCTACCCAGTGGACACAGGGCCTGCAGAGAACCAGTACATCAACCAGAAAGCCTGAATCTGCTCCATCCATGACAGCCTTGTTTAGCAGTTATCTGCTTCCCCTTGATCACCTCCAGGGATGGGGAGCTCACTTCCTGAAATGAGAGCTCTTTCCCTTTTGAGATAATTCTGGCTGCTCAATGCCCCATCTCTATAGAGTTAAATGTGGTCTCCTGGTACCTTTCATTGACTGGACCTCACTCTACAGTCTCTAGGCTCTCTTCTTTAGATCAAAGTCTAAAGTCTCTCCACCATTCCTCAGGGCACAGTGAGACATCCCTCATCATCCCAACTCTTCATCTCTGGACATGCCCCATGAAACTGGGCTGGTGGCTGGGGTTCATGCCTTGTTGCTGGCTGCAGGAAGGGCAGGCAGAGCACAGAAAGGAGGGAAGCTCTGCATCTATAGCTCTGCAGCAGTCCACCAACCACTATGATCTTGCCTCCCATACTCTGGACTGCTTAAGCTACAGTCCCAAGCAATTCAGACTCCAGCCAACCCTGATCCAGCTCTTCACCCATCAGAAATCTCTGCTGCTTTCCTGCCCAGGACACTGATCTCAGAAGCCCAGGAGGCCTGTTCCAGTTCCAGCCCCAATGACGCTTGTCTCTCAGAGCCACAATGTCCTTGGCTGTGGGGTGGAGTAATAATAGGGGTTATCACACTCTCTGAGCTGTGTGGGAATCAGATAATGCTGGAGGGTGGGGAGGTCCTTGGATGAAAGGCGCCAGGAGAATCTACAGTATTATTAGCTCAAGGTCTGAGCAATTACCACTTTGGGGCTCCCTAGAGCTGAGAAACCTCCTACAAAAACTGCCCAATCCAGTGTGGGGTGGGAGAGGGAGGTTGGCAACAGACATATAGGGCCAGCAGCCATGGATGGGACCTCATCAACCCAAAGGCATCTGTGTTTAACACATTTTTCTTCCTGAAACTCTACCAATGCAAACTCTGCACAGCCTTTGACTGTGTGGATGACAACAAACTGGGGAAAATTCTTAAAGAGATCACCTGACCTGCCTCCTGAGAAATCTGTATGCAGGTCAAGAAGCAACAGTTAGAACTGAACATGGAACAACAGACTGGTTCCAAATAGGAAAAGGAGTACGTCAAGACTGTATATTGTCACCCTGCTTATTTAACTTATACACAGAGTACATCATGAGAAATGCCGGGCTGGAAGAAGCACAACAGAGTGGACTATAAAGAAAGCTGAGCACAGAAAANAGATCCTGATGCTGGGAAAGATTGAAGGTGGGAGGAGAAGGGGATGACAGAGGATGAGATGGTTGGATGGCATCACCGACTCAATGGACATGAGTTTGAGTAAGCTCCAGGAGTTGAAGATGGACAGGGAAGCCATGGCGTGCTATGGTCCATGGGGTGGCAAAGAGTTGGACACAACTGAGTGACTGAACTGAACTGAACTGAACCAGTGCAAAGCCAAAGTGAGCCCAAACACATCAGGCTTCCTATGGCCACTGGAACCACTGTGCTGCCCAACACCTATCACCTTCCAACAGCCCTTTCCTGGAAATCGGAACCGAGAAACCTCCCAACACAAGGGGCCACTAATTTCCGTTTGATAAACTTCTGCTGGGCCTCTGCACAAAGGCCTGAGGGAGGAAGGGCAGATCTGAACAGTGCCTGCCCTCAGGGAACTCAGAGCCCGGGGGGCTAAGGACAGGGGCCTGAGCAAGCTCAAGGGTGGAGCCAGAGCAGAGGACAGGTCTGGGGTGTGGACTGACTCAGAACCCAGACGAGTCTGCACAGCTCCACACAGCTCCCCTTCCAGGCCCTGCAAGCAGGGCTCCTCAGGAAGGCCAGGTTGCCTACAGCCTGTTACAGCAGAGAAACCAAACCCAGCTGCCCAGGCTCCAGGCCCCCAAGGGCAGTACAGCCTACTCCAGCCCATCCTCAGGCTCATAGATGAGGGAGGGTAAGATGAAGTGTGGGACCCTTCCCTCGGCCATGCTTGTCATTTCTCTCCTCCTCCTGAGCCCAATCCATCCAATGTCTGTTGCTGTGGTTCAGTTGCTAAGTTGTAGCCAACGCTTTGAGACACCATGAACTGCAGCACGCCAGGCTCCCCTGTCCCTTACTACTTCCCAGAGTTTGCTCAAACTCATGCCCACTGAGTCGATGATGCCATCTAACCATCTCATCCTCTGTCGCCCCCTTCTCCTCCTGCCCTCAATCTTTCCCAACATCAGGGTCTTTTCCATTGAGTAGGCTCTTCGCATCAGATGGCCAAAGTATCAGAGCTTCAGCTTCAGCATCAGTCCTTCCAATGAATATTCAGGGTTGATTTC